TATTATATATATATATATATATATATATATATATATATATATATATATATATATATATATATATACATACATACATACATACAGGGTGTTTCAGATCAAACGCAGGTCCTTGAAGGGGTGGATAGATCTCGATAACGTGAGTAAAAAATGTCCGTACAAGAAAATTGTGAGGTCAATAGTTTTTAATAAAATGCATTTGAAGTTAACCAATCACGGGGTTCGCATTTCGCGCCGTCAGGAGAATTTATTTCTTATACACAAGCGATTGTTTAAAACAATTGAGTTTTATTTTAATGTTTACTAATATGATAGTGTTAATAATAATTTCTAAACGATATGTAATTGATGTGGCAGAATGTATTGCAAACGAAAATGATTCATGTCGCGCTGCTCCTGACAGCGCGAAATGCGAACCCCGTGATTGGTTAACTTCAAATGCATTTTATTCAGAAACTATTAACCTCATAATTTTCTTGTACGGACATTTTTTACTCACGTTATCGAGATCTATCCACCTTTTCAAGGACCTGCATTTGATCTGAAACACCCTATATATATATACAGAGTGATTCAAAATAACCGTATGTCCTTAAAGGGGCATATTCCTGAGCGTATTCTGAGACAACTTTTCCTTTGGCAAAAGTTTATGCAGAGCTTAATTTTCAAGTTATAAAAGAAAATAGTTAGCGTATCGTGAGTCGAGTACAAGAAACAAGCAGGGGCGTCGCAACTCACCGTTACACGCGAGTGTTTACGTGAGGCGCCTGCTACAATCAGCTGACACTCACGATACACAAATACGTATACGCATCTCTCTTTCTCTCTTTCTCTCTCTCTTTCTCCCGCGATGAGACAGATCCATATCGAGTAAAAGTTTTTCCACTTTCTTATGGTTCACGTCTCACGTTTTAAAACACAACACATTCACATACTCTGTTCACTCACTTCATCGATAAAACAAGGAATTTATTTAATGATCACTACTAATCACTTGATGCGTGAAAATTACTCGAAAAAAGAAACACGTGTTTTTCTATCTGAGTAATTGTGTATCGTGAGTGTCAGCTGATTGTAGCAGGCGCCTCACGTAAACACCCGTGTGTAGCGGTGAGTTGCGGCGCCCCTGCTTGTTTCTTGTACTCAACTCACGATACGCTAACTATTTTCTTTTATAATTTAAAAATTAAGCTCCGCACAAACTTTTGCCAAAGGAAAAGTTGTCTCAGAATACGCTCAGGAATATGTCCCTTTAAGGACATACGGTTATTTTGAATCACCCTGTATATATATGTAAATTATTCATTACAATATGATTTGTACGCATGATTTATATGTAATTTATTCATTGCAGCATAATATAAGAAATGCGTGTTTTAAAATCGTCATTGCTATAATTATTTTGTTTATGTCGTGTAAAAAACATTATAAATAACGCTGCTGATACAATGTTTAAGTTATACACTTGAAATTGGTCAATGGCCTATTTTATGTTTATAGAATATTTTATTTATTATATGTTTTAATATATACTTTACGGAAATATTTTCTGTAATATATTACATTGTGAAACAAATCCATATCACATTCGAGTAATGTAAGAGAATGTTAAATTTTTTGATGTATAATCGGAAAAGATTTTGCATCTATATGCATATATGTGGTCCATGTTTCATATAGCTTGGATGTATGTTTAGTAAAGTATATACCCATATGAGGGTCTAAAGAATTGAAGGCATCACATTTAAAAATAATTAGTCATTTATAATATATTCGTAATAGTCTTAGGTTATCGTCTTAGGTTTAAGAATATTATTTTATATTAAGTATTTACTTAATCCAAGAAAATACGATTAAATATATATACATATATATTCGATAAAAAGTGTGAATAAACGAAATTTAGTGTATTTTGCGATAAATATGAATAAATGTGAAATTGAGTAAATTCGCGCTATTATCCGCGATTTCAAGTGCGATTAAGAGAATGAGGGACCAATAAGTGAAATTAGACGAGTTTATTAACTGTATTAAGAAATTTGTAGCGAAGACACTTGAAAGGCACTATGTGTGCGCTATCGATGCGGTTGAATATTAAGCAGTTAGTTAGCAGTTAGTAAGCAAGTGGAGAAGAAAGAAAAACTCCGTTTCATTGATTGTGAATCTACTTAATCGACTTAATCGAATTGTTTCCAAGCCGTCCGATAGACAATTTATTGTTATAATGTTTACTGTTAAAATCAATAATATTGAATTATGGATATTGTGTGAAAGTTAAGAGTGCCAATTTACACGCGCGCGAGCGACAGAGGAAGGGAGGCAGGAAGGTGTGTGCGTACATATTGTTAACAATTTCAGATACGACAAAGGATAACATTTCTTCTCCTTGCTTACTCTCCCTCACAACTTCACTTTTGCAATATAATGTCAACAGTAAAAATGCTATAAAGCAAAATGTTAAACACTAATCTATGCGACATTTTTTACTACATAGATGTGATTTTTAACTGTTACGGTTGGATACATGTTTAATGTTCCAACGTTGTCTTCAAATGTGGTTCAAATTAGTGTTTGTAAGCTCTTTAAACGCTATAAAGTATTGTCCAATATGGAATCGAATATTTTACAATCTGTAGAAAGATCTTTCTAATTTCCCGTTATTGTGTCAAATTTGAAAAATTTTGAAGAAATTTAGAGAATAGAACATATAATAAACAGATTAGCAGATAAATAACAGTTCCGGAAAAAGGACAATTGTACATTATAAATATAAATTATAAATTTTCACATAGCTTTATCTCCATTTTATTATTTGAAACACAAAAGAAATGAAATATATTTTTCTTCTATAGATAACGTTATGATTTGCGTGCGAACAGAAAACAGTTTTTATAATTAACATTATAGTTTATGCCTATATTTTGTACTAATCTTCCATAAATCCGCCAGTGAAATTTGATAAATTTGTATGAAACAATAACGTATCTTTTAAAATATTTTGCTAAGTTTATGATTAAAAAGCAATAAGCTATAAAAACAATTTGTGTGTATCTGCAATAAACAAATAGTTTATTTATATAGGCAATAGAATACGCATTTATTGGAATTTTATCTTCATCCCTATTCAAATAGTTACGTGTTACGTTATCTATCGATTATCAGTAAGCTATGTAGAAATATACATGACATATATATTTATTTGTAGATAAAACATTACGCTTCTGCGTATAAATTCCATTTCAAGTCCCATTTCTTTTTACATCTTAGTTTCTTACTTTTTCGGCGTTATAATACCTTCTAATTGAGTCTGAAAAAATTAAAATCTTACTTGATGAAATCTTTTGGAAACAAATAACAAGTTGAGTGTGATAAAAAATAGAATACGTTTATTCTATGTTTACCTTTAGTTGCAAATTTGTTTTTTTAAGGAATTGCACTTCTTCCGTGTGTTTCTTTTCTTCGGCTTCTCTCAATTCAGCCGATCTTCTCTCGGCTTGATCAAACTTAAGTCTTAATTCTGCAATTGTTTTCTCCAATTCAATCTTTTGTAATCGTAATTCCTCGACTGTATTCATTAAATTTTCCTGACCTTGTTCCGCCTGTAAATATAAATCTTTAGTAGAACCTCTGCATATATTGTTGAGGTTTCTTATTAATAATATAAATTTGATTATATATTACATCATACTTATATTTTATTTTCACCTACAACTTGTAACAATTTTATACGTACTTGTAACGCCTTACGCATTCCAAAAGCAATACTACTTTGATACAATGTCTGATACGCAGCCAATGTCATTTTAATCTCGTCTCTCACTCTCAATAATAGTAATCCGCGCTCGGCGCAATTCACAGTTACTTGTCGTATTAATTCATCTGAAATGTGCAATAATAAGTATAATGTAATATATAAATAATACAGTTTACTCACATAAAACACATCATAATTTAGTATTATAACACATTAGAATTCACTTAAACTTATTGCATTGACATTTAATTAGAGAGAGGACCATACGCATCAATTTATTTTTTATGTTAATGTATAGCCAAATTTGTATACCGAAACATTGGGTGTAGAGCTGCCTACGAACAGGACAAATACCCGTTTCTCTAGCTTGTCTTTGTTGCAATCGCATATCAAGTTGCTCTTGTAAGTTTATCACATCTAGTCTTGTCGCAGGAGTACTAGATACCTAAAGCACATATTATATCTGTGAACAGATATAAATCCTATAGAAGATATGAATTCATTTTAAAAGCATATAATTGTTACACGTTGAGCCCATATTTGGCCGTCCTCTTCCCATTCTTTCGGTGGCAAAATTTTATTTAAAATTTCCACAGTTTCGCGACGTGTGTCAACCGAGGTTGAAGTCGTTTGTATTTTACAAGCAGCTACACCGATTTTTGTTATCGCTGCATCTTTACGTACCTATTGTTTCATGAAATGTGTGTAAGTAGATGAAATAATTTATACATTCTAGCATAAAAAATTCATAAAAATTAATATATATTAGATAAAAATAATAATGCAATTACAATTCTGTACCTTCTCTGGATGAGTTGTAATCAAAACAGGATTGTCATACTTGACTAGTGTATCCATGACAGGAATTGTGCGTTCTTTAATCGCTGTTGCCATCTTATTTAAATATAAAATATATGTGTAGAAAGTATCTGATTGATAATACTAGTAGTATGAATGTTGAATAGTATTGAATTGATTACTCGATTGATCATACGAATAAATGATATAAATTCTAGGAGAAAACTCTTATCACGTAGAACATGTACGATTTCGTCCATACAAGAGCTAATAGTCACAGATGATCACCATGGAAACGTCGATACACTACTTGACTGTTTTTATGCTGTTGCAAAAGCGACATTCCACTTTTAACATTTAAAATTAAAAAAATTTAATATTTAAAAAATTATAGATAGGTTTATATATACCTAGTAAAAAATTTGAAGAAATATAATGCCACCTCTTGTTTGTGTTAGGGCAAAAATGGAATAAAATAGAAAGCACACAAGGTTTGCGAATAATAGTTTAATATCAGAGTTTGTTATTTAAAATAAGAGATGAAGTTTTATGTTACAAGTAATGAGTAATTCAAAATTGTACATATACTGTATGTATATTATGGATATATTATCGATCGTGGCTACATAGTAGCGTTTAGTTCCGAAATAAAATGGTCTCTTAATTCAATTGTAGTGAAGTCATCTATATCGTTATTTTCTTCAAAGATGTCTTGAACTGTACCCGTTACAGTCTCTATGCTATCTAATATGATTTCTTCGCGAACCGTTTTCGGTCTTCCCACATGATTCTTTGAATGCGCCATTATACCATTTTTCGTATGTATTCCATCGTATTCCATATGCTTTTCATCCACATTATGTTTTGAAGAAATAGCTGTCGAAATCTCATTACTACTTTCGTTAGAATTTGAGGAATTGTCGCGCAGGGAGATTTGCAAAGTCGATAACGCTGGAAGTGGAAATCCAAAGCTTAACAACTTGTTGTATCCATTCTCACCGCAGATGTTTTTAATTTCCATTGCCATCGCTTGAGCTCTTTCAGAATAGCCTCCCTTGACATTGTCTATCAGCATTTCATTAAAGTGGCTCAATTTCTCGTCTAAAAGCTTCCTTCTTCTCATAACGGTTTGCATATTTAACATCTTTCTTTTACACGTATTTACATTTTTCACTGCACGATCGAAGAATTTAGAAGCCTTCTGCAATTTCCAATTGAGCTCTTTTATCAGATTGTCCTTCTGCTTAATTTGACCTTCTAGTTCTCTTTTTTGTTGACATTCCATGGTTATAGTTCTCATTAATTTTTTATTCATATCTAGAAAATAACTTATTCTGTTTGATAAATCATTAATCAATGTTTGCCTCGAATCCATATTTTTCTTACAACTTGCTGAAAATAATCCGTTATCCGTTTTTGTATCATATTCACACATTGTCTTTATTTCGAGTGCCAAAGTTTTACTTTTCAAATCTTTCTCCAAGTCCTTGTATAAAATAAGTTGATTAGTTAATTTTCTGATAACATCCTCTTGCATTTTCACCTTCTGCTGCAATTTCTGATAATCGTATCTAATGGCTTGAATGGCTGTCGCTCGCTCAGCAGTCTTGTTAATGTCTAATGATAAACAGTCGCTACTTATATCTATATCATCAGACTCCTCATTGAAATGCGATGGTATTAATCTTGTACCTAGACACTCATTATTTTTTAAAGTTGAGAAATCACATGACACATGATCGTTACTTCTTGGCTTGATATCTGTAATACTTGATTGTAAAATATCATGATTGCGTTCATTCTTGGCATTTGTTCTTACTTGAGTGCAGTCATCTATCGTTATCACGGATGTAACAAGTGTATCATTTCCTTGTACATGCATATTATTATGTTCTTGGATCGTAAAGTCTTTAGTATCTTTAAATAAATCCTGCATTATATCAATTACATCTTCACGTTCACCTGTCACCTTGATTGTAAACTTTGCTTGTGTAGTATCGTCTTTGTCAAATTGTATACTTTCAGGTGTATTCAGTTCCTTTTCTATTTTATCTTCTACTTCCACATTGTTGTCCGAAGCATCACTGTTGCTTACGAAAACTGTATCCTGAGAGGATACAGTTCGAATTGATTTTTTTACAGACTTCATAATCTCCTCTCGAGTTCTCCATTTACGTTTCATCGCCGCTCTCATGTTTGATGTGACATGACTGTGCTCTTTGTTAAAATATTCTTCTGTCTCTTTCAGACAAGTTTTATCATTTTGTTTATCAGTAATGTTATTGATATCTGTATTATGCTGATTCAATTTATCATTCTCATTAGTCACATTATTAGATGTATATTTGGAAACATGTACACATTCTTCTCCGCTTTCACTGCCAAAAATTATCTCTATATTTTCCGCATTATCAGTTAGTATATTTCCAATTGTATTCTTCGACGAATATTTATAATTTATATTTTTGTGAAATGGCACTTGCATCGCCGATTGTTCTAAAGTTCTTTTCTGATTTCTAGCAATTGAATTTAGTTTCTCTACATTATTAGACATATTCTCTTCACGATAACCATTGCAGATTTGCTTCAATTTCTCCTCTATTTCATCATAACTATCATCAAGTGACACTTGGTCAGTTTCGCCTTTCATTCCTGTTTTTGCAACATTCTTATTTTGATTTTGAGTTAAATTATTTCTCATTTGCTTTCCATTGTTGTGATCATTGATACTATTCTCTAGCATATTATTATCCTTTGAAATTAAAATAATACTTTCTTGTTGAATATCGCTGCTAATGGCTCTATACTGTTCACTTAATACTTGTTTGTTCTCCGTCATTGTTGGAGAATGACTTACTTGGCGATATATAAATGATGGTACAGATGGATCATCAAGACCTTGTGAATCAGAATCTTTCTCTTCCAGATTACCTGTTGACGAGTGCTCCGTATCATTTTCTAGATATTCCGTTATATAATCATTCTCACATTCACTCCTTATGGTTTCATTCCTTAGGTTTGATAACTTTATACGCTTTTTGGGAGATTTTCTGGTGGATGTTATGGTAAAAATAGTTGGCACAGCATTTTTTTTTAATCTAATTCTGCCACTTTGTGTTATAGACCATTCTTCAGGTTCAAAGTGCACGTGACAAAGAAAGGAATTGTTGGACGGTTCCCAATCTGCCCTGGCAACACGTTCCTGCCAAATTTTTCTTAATGTTGGGTCGCGAGGAAAACATTTCATAATATACCCTTTTTCACTGCGATTGTTGCAACCAACAGCGGCACAACCTGGCATTTTTAATCAACCAAATATAGAGAACAATCTGCAAATTCAGAATAACATCAAACTGTGTGGTATATAAAAAAAACCAAATTAATAATTGCGTTGCAAGTGGCACAATGATAAGTGGCACGAAAAGAATATATGTAATAAACATACCTAGTGATTTGAAACAAATGGATGCATAAAGTCTGTTCTATTCATAGTTTGTTTCCTTTCTTTTTCCCTAAAAATTACAAATAGATTTGTTTCATTGTAAATTCAAAAAATACAAAGGTACAGATTCCTCCGATTATTGATACATATTCGTTGATGGACGAGATTGAAAAAATATTTCTTTGTCTCACCTCTTTTTATCCTAGCTTTATTTGTGTGCAGGAGAATGTGTGATAAAATTGGACATTTATTAAAACAGACAATTTGACTTATTATCTGTCTAATATTCGCACGATGAAATTTGCGAAGGTTAACTTTTCACTTTAGACGCGCAAATAATATATTGTAAAGCTTGCTTATATATACTTCAAACACACTGCCACACCACACCGTATGCAGCTCACTCGTATACTAAATGCGCTGAGAGATGTATCAAGAGAGATAGCTTTATTTTATGTTTACTCTTCTCAGCAGAATTTAATTAAAAAGCTTATTTTTTCACTCATAGAGCAAACCGAAAAGCATCAGTACGCAAAAGTGCCGGCAAAACGACAACGAAACATACATTACTGTATATTATAGAGACATTACAATACCATCGAATTGTATACATACGAGAAAAGCAGAAGCAGATAAGCAGCTTAGGGGGAGTTTACATTGAGAGTGAAAAAGCAATATATAACAAAGCGGAATTTTTTGAGCCAATCTAAACTCGTCGATTGAATATGTAGTCAGCCTTAAGGTTGAGTGAGAGGAAGCAAATTATGTTCTCGCATCATAGCGTAGACAGTCTACACTTATTATGTCTATGGTCACGATGTACGCGCGCTTATTGTTTATGCTTTATGCAACATTAATAAATCAACAGGTAAAAGTTTTGAGAATATTATACGATAAAGGATACGATAGTCATCTCTTTGTCGAAATTAAAATTTGAAACGTAAAGAGAAAATATATATATATATATTCTATAATACATCAGAGATTTCATGCCAAGTGTTAAGTGTTTCGAGGCATTTCGGGGTTGTTTATATCGCGGCGTACGCGCGTATCGTTTACGCATTCCATTCGTCCGCTATTTCTTTCTATCCTGCTATCATACGAATCCTGATTGTATCCTGTGTTCTGTCCTCTCTTCAGCATCCCTCTAGACTTGGCAAGCGCGCTGTTGTCTCCTAGGTCGAATGAGTATTCCGTGCGACAAACGATATTTGAGTTTTACTTTTGTCCTAATATGACAAAGTACGCGCCGGGAGTGTCGTACAATATCGTGTGATCGTTGTAATAAAATTCACATTGGAACTATCATTTAAAGTATTGCATTAACATATTTGCGTTGCGAAATGCGCACGAGATTCGCGTGTAATGTCGCCTTCGGGCTTCGCTGGCGATGTCGGGAGTGCCGTTTAAAGTGTCGCGCGATTTTTGTGTTCGGAAATGCACACGCGTGCAATGCGTGTGTCGTGTGTGAGTATCTTAAAGAATTATTTATAATTACATATGCACAAAATGTACTCACCATTTTCTCTACTTTCCTAGACATTAAGGATGGTATACAACTGACAAGGAATGTACAAGGATGATATTTACTTCATATAAACCTGAAATATAAAACATACAAAATTTATTATTTAATAATATATTTGTTAAAATGTTCACTATTTATTATTTTTATTTAAAGTTGATACATTTTAATATGTTTGTTATAATATATTATAATTTAATATGTTGCGTTTCCATGTAATTTTAATTTTTTATTTCTAGCAATATTTATTACACACTAATACTAATATTTTTAGCAACATGCTACACTGTAACATTCTGAAATATTAGCTTTTAATTTATTTACTTTACGCATTTGATAAAAAAAAACGATGATTTTTTTTATATTAAAAACACTAAAATAATCACTCAAAAATATGTATGTAGATTTTGTTTTAAAAAGATATTTTAACCCTCTTTAATGTGCGATTGAATACTTATAAAAGAATGTCTATCTGTTTTTATTTATATAAAATATATTCGAAATTTATCAAAGGCGAATAAAGTTAATTCCAAACACTTTTTTTCTTTATTAAAAAGAATTGTACTAGGTCTTATTCTAAAATGAATATCTTACTTGTGGAGAAGATATTTCCTTACAAGTATTAAAAATATCAATGCTATTTTCTTCGAAGATTTCAAACATTTATGATACACGCAGGGAGACTCTACCAGTAGGAAGTACTAATTTCATTGTATTATATTTTCTTGAGCAAGGGAGGAAATTACCACTTGTCACACACATTTGTTACGATGTGCTTTCGTTACGCGATATCACAGAAATATATTCTATTTTTTCTCGGAGGTCTGAAACATTCACGGCACGTCTACAGACACGCTGTTAGTAGAAAGTGCTAATTTTATTCCATTATTTTTCCGATCGATATATTCTCTTTGTCGACAAGATCTATGTAGCAATCATTGAGTGATGTGACACCTGCCACTTTCGTTTGAAAAACTTCATATGTATATACAGCAATTTTATAATGAAGGGTTTTCTGTTGATAATCTTTTCTCGTTTCTTATGTTGGAGAGTAAACCAGCAGGTATATATAAAATTTTAAAAGTAGTTTTCCAGTGCCGCAGTGTTTCTTTAAAAACTATGGAAGTTACCTGGAATCATTATTACGATATTGTTTGTAAAATAACATCGCTCACTGGTATGTGGCCATACATGAAACCGAAATTAAAAAGATTTACCATTATTCTTTTGGTTATATCCATGATGACTGTAATCATCCCGCAGGTAAATACATGCTATATAATATAATCACCAAAAAAAGCATTTATTATAAAATGATGTAAATGATAATTATGCAATTTATACATAATGATAATTTCCAGATTAATTATCAATTAACGTGTGAAGGCGACCTGCAATGTATTATTAGGGCAGTAACATCATATGTCATGTCAGCTATATGTGTAGTAAAAGTGTGCACTTTTCAATTAAATACTCGTGCAGTACGTTTTATTTTGTTATACGTTTAGATTCTGATTAAATATTCCAATATATTTAATTATTTAAATCAAAATTTTGAGAGCAAAAGAGTGAAAAAAGATATTCTTTTAATCGTGTAAAAATGTTTGGTATAATTTTTTACTATTATCTTATCAAATCGTAAAAAAAACTCTTAATCAATATTATACCAGATTAAAAACCTCACTCATCATCTGTTTGAGGATTGGAAGCAATTAAAAACTGCCGAAGAGTATGAAATTATGAAATCGTATGCCAAGACCGGTAGACAATATTGTTTGATATATTTTGGTGAGATCTGATGAAAGACAATGCATTCTATTTTGCGTCAACTTTGCGTTTCTCTTTTTAATAATAAATCACTTTACATATTTCAGTGTATTCCTGCTTAGCAGTATTTGCTTTTTTATCAATGACTCTTATACCGTATTCACTAGATATCTTCTTGCCTCTCAATGAATCTCGTCCCGTGCTAATGCCATTTTTTGCAAATTGGTTTGTCGACTTTCGGGAATATTTCTTTCCCATTTATGTGCATTCTGTCGTGGCTTGGGAATTAATTATGTCCGGATTAGTTGCCCATGATTGCTTGATCATGACTTTCATCGAGCATATTTGCAGCATATTCAGTGTAGTTGGGTAAAAAAGTCGTTTATAATATTTGGAAAAAAGTCACATTAAAATATAATTTCTTCATTTGTTTTTCAGCAGTGTTAATGTAGTGCAAATATTTATAGATTTCGCTTCGAATATTTATTTCACAACTGTAATGCAGAAGTGGAAGTGGTAAACATTATTCCAAATGATATATATTGCAAAAGGATTGCGTTACTTGTGCATACACATCGACAAGCCTTAGAGTAAATGCATAATGCGTCGTCGAATAGTAAAACAAAATATAATGTGTTTGTTTAAAGATGAAGAAATATCCGCCGACTGAAAATTAATCTCTTGTTTCTCACTTGCAGGTTAGCGCAACTTCTTGAAAAGCTATGTACCGTATCTTTCTTTATACAAATGTTCATAGTAGTTGTGGCGTTGAGCACTACCATGACGGAAGTACGTTTTTGTTTATTATATAATATGATTCTCTCAATCTACAAAAAATTTAAATATACTTTTTACATTGGAGGTAATAAGAATGGAAACTGACGGGATTTTAGAATCAACAAGATATGCATTATACAGCATTGGTCAACTACTTCATCTATTCTTTCTTAGTTTCGAAGGACAAAAACTAATAGATCACAGTCTTCAGATACGTGAAAAAATGTGAGACAATTTTTCTTAATTCACTAAAAGAAGAAAGAAAAACCATTTCATTCCTGTATGTGTTATTTTCTATATATTGTGTATCATTGAAATATTACAGATACAGTAGTTTGTGGTATAACGCATCTACAAAATCGAAAAAACTACTTGTATTGTTGATGATGAAAGGCCTTCAACCGAGTTTTATAAGCGCCGGAAAAATTTACATTTTCTCTCTGGAAAGTTTTGCTATGGTAAATTAATGATTATTACATACATTGTAATACGTTGTAAAACTTTTTTAACGATGCATTTATTTTTCGCATATTTGTTTTAAAGGTCCTACAAACTTCGATGTCGTATTGTACGATACTCGCATCTGCTTAATAACTTGTGTTATTTCTTCATTTCTTCATATATTTCTGCTTAGCAAGTACTTGATATTTATAATTAATTAAATTTATGTGTTCAATCATAAAACGTTCTATTAACAAGTTCTGAATCCAAAATTTTGATTCTGATACAATTTTGTCAAAATGTAAAGTATTGTTGTGTATCCACGGGCGCCGAAGAAGGCAGTCAGCTGTGCTGGAATCGATATATTGAGTCGTCCGAAAATCAATGAAAAATAAATGAAGCAGCATTACTTGGACTAGAGTGGACAAAGAAAAGGAGAGTCGTTAGTAGTCAGTCATTAGTCGAGCACGCACCTTGGTCCCGACAGGACATTTATTGGATGAACAAATTATAAATTTTTCCATTTTCAGTGTCATAATGTTGTGCACCTTGGTATTACACTAGATATTTCACATTTTATATGAGAAAATTACTTTTAATAAAGTCAAATGCTCCAATGTGTATGACATGTATTTCTGAATGTTTTCTAATACACATACACATGCATTCTAAGGAACAATCTATATAGCATTATATGTATTATCGTGAATATTATTAATTTGAACATAATTTAGTGATACTTTTACTGTTTTATTTCAAATATGCATTGATACACTTTTTAAGCTGGTAATGAGCTTGCAATAATTCTTCATCACGCAGTTGGACTTGATTTGTATTATTTTCCTTCATCACGATTACTTTACGTATAGTCGTGTGATATAAGCCCGCTGAAACAAACTAAATATAATATATATATCTTTTTTTATTTATTTTTATTAATATACTAATACAAAGTGATAAAATTGTCTTCTCTTACCGAACCAAAGTATTTTAACGATAAAATTGATATGATGCAAGCGATAACTAATTTCTGGCATCTTAACAGAATGGGAAGCAGATTCTTTTGCTTGCACGTATGATAATACAATAGAGATTCTTAAGCCGCTTGGGTAATGTCTGAACTCTGTTATAAAAGTTAAAAAATTATATTTTGTGTTACGACAAAATATACATATTAGTATACACAATATTATTAGAAATTATTTGAATATTTTGGTCAATAAGATGTGAATATATATTTACTACAGTTAGTAGATTGTCGGCGGGTCAGCAACACATAAACATTTCAGAAAGACTGTTAACAATGAAAGTCAGCGTGAAAAACTGCACTTTGATTGTCGATAAGATACATCAAATCAAATAAAATTTTACAATAATATAATGTTTACTTCTATATTGCTACCGCAGATGTTTAAATAAAAAGAATCGGTCGCATTTTAAGACGGAATTTTACTCTCTCATATTACAAATAATGAAACATTTATTGCATAAATAAATAAAATACGTAAGCTAAAGTTATGAATATATACGTCGTGAAATAAATTGTTCGAGTTTTCAATCTTGACAGTTAATTGGTTGCAAAGAATATGAATTTATAATTATTCGTAAGAAAGAATCTTTTAATTTTCACCGCGACATTTGAGATAACGCGATTTGTAATAATGCAAATTTGTAATAAATTCTCATTTATATGTGAAAATTGCGGAAAACTCATGACGGTAGTTAAGCATAGCATAGTCGCGGCGGACAATTTCTGATTTTTCTGTCGCCGTTGTCCACTTCGGACATTGCGAACATTGAACGATTCGTAACTTTATGCGAATAATTTTTCGAGTCACTTCTTCGTCAGAAAATGATACAGTGCGTGTCGGGAGTGTAAAGAAATTTCGCGAGTGTTGTGTCATGAAAGAGCAACCGTCGGTGGACCGAGAGGAGGAGACGGTCCGGGGAACGACGGAGCAACTATAGAGTAAGTTAATTGCACACAATAATTATTTTTAAAATATTAATTATTGTGGACGCGCTGGTATAATTTGCATATATTTGTATGTGTATACCACACTCCGCTGTTGCGCATCGTGCCGATGAATAAAAGTGTCGTTACGTATTATTTCGCAACTATTACAAAAAACCTGCGTAGTAATACATAACGATGATACATCGTTAAAAGTTAGAAAAGACCCCTTAATCCTGTAATATCTATGCTTTTGTTTCATTATCTTGCGTATAAAAATACACACAAAACATGAAAAATATAGCTCACTATATCAATCTTTTATTATAATATCTTATTATACAACAGGATATTAATCAGAGAAGATATTTATTAGTCTAAAATTTTTAGGAAACATTTTTAAACGCACACAAGAAAATAATAAGACATATTTTTATATGCTAAAAAACTTTCTACACAAAATTTTCAGATGTTATTAAGAATATTATAAGTAAATTAATGACACTTTTATAATATAAAGTTTTTCCAAATTCCCTAAATTTTTCAAATTTTATGATGTTTATACATATGACTAACAAAGATTCGATATATTTACATATATTTTTGTAAGAGACTGAAATACAATAAATTGGTAATTGTAATCTATCAGCTAATTAATATTTGTTTAATTTAAATTTAAAAATGGTAGACATAGGATGTCCCGCGTCTTACATATATGAAGGTGTATTCACGTGTCATTTTAGGCTCTTTTTGAAGATTGCTATTCTTCACTTGGTACCACTTGGAGCGTTGCGAGTGCTAAACATTCTTGATCGAGGTGGCAGTCTAGATTATATATATGCTATGGATATATAGAAAATTTCTTTTTTAACATTGGTAGTTCTGAATTCGGAGCTTCGCACTTTTCCCGTATGAGGTCTTTGAGATAATTTCGGACTTGGGCAGACTTGGCCCAATGACGATCGCATTTGTAGGATTACTTACGCGCGTTTGAGAAATGGCAGCAGAGATAAAACCTGCACCGGGAGTGAATCATGATAAATTCAGCAGCAGCCGTAAACCGATCCTCCTATCGAAATTGGAGGGATGCAGCGATGACGTTAATGCAGCTATTATTATTCCACGAGAAGAGGGTGTAATCAGTGTTTGCGATGACAGGTACTTGTCTCGAAGGTGTTTTTGACATGTCAACATTCCGCGTAGACTGTTTTACGGACTGTCTCTAACGTCAATTCCGCATCGATCAGCAAGATTTATTTCTCTCGGTTACAATTGCGCGTAATTTTTCGATTACGTGGACACACCTTAGACCATACTTTCGTGTTATGCATGCTTTCATCATTACTATGGCGCTTCGAAAATATCACTTTATCCATATAAATCTAAATAAATTTAATTTAAAGAATTATCAAATATATAAGATGGTAGATCTTGGATAAAAACGCCTCTTTGTATTTTAAAAATGTTTTATAATGAAAATTCAATTGTGTCATATAGAGTAGTATTAAATATATGACACTATTGACACACATACACACACGCACACACAGGCATATAAAACAGTGTGCGTGTGTGTGTGTAATTTTTTCATATGCTGCAATATATTATTTGTAATATACAAGATATTATTTATATAATTGATTGATTTTGATAGTTTTTTTTATTATTTGTTTCACTTCAATTCTTTTGCAGGACAGTTAGAGTATGGTTGAAACGTGATTCTGGCCATTACTGGCCAAGCATTTGTCAGTACATGCCAGCAGGTGCTACTTCTATGCATTATTGTGTAGAAACAAGACAATTGTTTATTGGCTTGGATAATGGAAGCATAAATGTAGGGATTAAATAACTTTTATCTTATCATTCATTAGAATTGTGTATTATTAGAATATTATTTGACCTTCTAATTGCAGGAATTTATCTTAGAGCAAGATTATAATCGAATGACAGCCATGCGAGATTATATGGCACATCAAGCGAGAGTCACAGGGATTATTTTTGCAGCAGATTCCGAATGGGTTTTAAGTATAGGTCGCGATAAATTATTCCAGTTACATAGTTCTGAGACAGGACATAAATTAGGGTCGTACCAAGCAGATGCGTGGTACACTGCTTTACAGTATCCTTTTATAATTTTATATCTTTGCGAATAAAAGATTTTTATAGAACAATTTATAGTACATCTATAAAAACCTTAGCTAATGCGTGCACAGATTTGACGCCCAATCCAAACACGCTTTTGTGGGAGATTATTCTGGTCAGATAGCAATGTTAAAACTGGACAATAGTGGTGTCACCTTCATTACTACCTTAAAAGCACATACAGGAAGTATTCACACATTGGCATGGGACACCGAAAAGCAATTGTTGTTCTCTGGAAGCTTTGATCAAAACATTATTGTCTGGGATATTGGTGGTCGCCAAGGCACTGCTTATGAACTTCAAGGACACCAGTAAGTGTGCATGAAAAGAATGATACGGTATTATGCACAGTATATTTTACATACTTTGCCGTATTTAAAAAATATCTCGTAATAACAAAATACGATTATCTTACTATATAGTTTATCAGAAATATTATTTTAACTATATGAAAAATATTCTAAATTTTTTCCTTCAGCAACAAGGTGACGGCATTGTGCTACGCGAGTGCGGAACGTTTACTTTTGTCCGGAGGCGAAGACGGCGTTATTGTCTGTTGGAATATGGCTGCAAATAGAAGGGAAACCGCAACTTGGGTTGAATCTGACATCTGTCAGGTATATTTAAATTTTACAATTTAGTTGTCCACTTTGCAATATCGCTCTAAAGTTAAGGAAATCTAGGCTTGTGGTAGACCCTTCTTCTGGAATATAAAAGCGATGATGGATCAACGACAATTAGGGCTGAGACAGCATCATTGTCGCTATTGCGGTCGCGCGTTGTGTGCTCGCTGCACATCGCAACGCATACCGATACCGGCGATGGGTTTCGAGTTTGAAGTGAGAGTCTGCGACCAATGTCACATACAGCTTAAATCCGAAAAGTAAATAGTATATACTGTTCTTATTTAGAATTCTTAGACGCGTCACAAGGCAAGCATAATAAATCATTCACTTTTGATTTGTGCCCATAGTCAATCGTCTCTGGCGTCTTTTCACGACGCCAAACATAGTGTGGTCGGGATGGACTTGGATGCTCCCAGGCGAAGATTGTTGACTATCGGCCAAGATCGCGTTATTAAGATTTGGGATGTGTCCGCACTCTTTCAATAAATTTTCACGTATGTATGTATCGATAATTGGAGTTGATGCAAATCAAATTACAAAGATATCATACTCCAAAACCTATTTTTGTGATTATATAATTATGTCAAATTGTGAATCGGTGATCCGTTATATAATACGAGCCGTTCTAGTATGGATATCGAGAGATCACGATCGGTCAGTTTATCAGTGATTACGCTACAACATGCTTAATTCATATGTATTTCCTGCATTAGATATCAAGATACTTGGGAAATGGATAAGCATACGGCGCAAGCATACAGAAATCATCTCTAAAAATATTCTATTGATAGTATTATTTCCAGAAAAGTGTTTGTATAATCATGTCTGACTACACAGAAATCATTATCTCTGAATGTATGCAAGATATACGGGCTCTTTGTTTTAAAACACGTTAGTCACAACGCAACATAGATATAATATTAAAATACTGTTTACAAAAATTCTTTTAAATGGATTTTTTGATAATTCGCTCTAAATTGAATTATTTCAATGTAGAGTTTTTCAATTTAACTTGAAATAAAATTAGTACAATTCTGCTGTAAAACTTGTAAAATTATATTTATGTCAATAGTGATGATATACATTTGATAAAAGACCCATATTGAGCATTTGTATATATTGCAATCGTCTATTGCACATTTTGTTACTATAAAAGTCTTTAAAGTGATTTCGCGCTGTTATATACATAATACAAATTTAAATAAGTTTTCACTGAGAAAATATTAAAGAGGGTTTAATAAAAACCGATCAATAGTATAAGTATCAACTAATTTAATGTGTTTTATCTAATGTAATATGTAATTATGAATTTGTTCGTTTCTTTATTATTTCCTATTACATATATATATACTATTAATTTGAGCATACAAACATTTGAACTATATACTATTTTTGAACAAATTCAAGTAAGTAGTGATATAACTTGTGTTAAGTCCTAGTCCTATTTGTTATGTAACTTACGATTGTTTAATATTATTATATAATTTTAGAGAACAAATCAGACAAGAGAGTATTTACCATTCATGATCAAATTGGTTACTTTCTTGACTATCAAAGTCTTCTCAAGTACAATAAGTAGGTACAAGCTATGCAAAATTAATTGATCCAAAGGTAACAATTTCTTGAATTTATATGATTAAATTGATATAATTTTCTCCTCAAACAAATAATGTTATTTTTATTATAGAGATTTTCATCTTGCAGACTGATGAAAATTTTCAACAATTGTAAAATAACAAAGGCATTGCTAATATAATGATAATGAGCTTCCATAGAACATAGAATTTCGTCAGTAAATAACTTTTGTGACACCAAAAAGCTGCTTCATGTACTATTAGAATACAGTGAAAAAAAATCAGTTCTCACCATCAGTCGATGTACATAAAATGCATAACTTGTACCTGACACCCCCCCCTTCCCCCCCCACACACACACATAAAATTATTCCATGGCGATCATCGTCACTGTGATTTCTACATTGTCGATTCCATAAAAGAGATAGTTATTATGGAAGAAATCACTCTTGTTATCAAAATGCAATCAGATTTATTCATAGAATAAATCTTGCGTTTTGAGTAACTGGATGTGTGGATGCAATTCGCACGATCCATTCAACTATTCATTGAATACAAGTGTACTGTATGTTTATAAGCTCGATTAGAAAACACTATAACAAGTACTGTCGCATTTTTGTATGTTTTGCTAAAAAGTATATATATATACTATCTAAATAACATATTTATGTGCTTCTTATATAAACATTACACCTTTACGCGACCAAACTATTGCATCATTATGGATGAAAACGATTATTCAGGCATTCAGATATTTATAATTGTATGCATAAAGAAACAGGTAAATGTTAAACTATGCGTTGCAACGCGCTATCGAAATATAGTATATATGTAACTTACGAAAAATGTAAAAAGAAGCGGCTAACTATGTATATGTATCCTACTCATATGTCGAATTGATATAAAATGAAAATATATTTTCAATGTAAAGCTATATAATTTTATCAATTTTTCTCCACGCGTTTTCCGATGAGAATAAATATAATAGAATATTGATCGCAATATACATTTATGTTTGATAAACTATTAATCAAATTTATGTTCCTTCAACATATCGCGACTGTGATAAACAACATTCTTTAAATATCGATTAATAATTCGCGCTGTTGATTAGCTCTCGTGTTAAGAATGCGGATATTTTTATTCGTGTTTATTCTTAATTTTGATTTTTACTTATATTAATTATTATTTTCCATTTTTATTTCAATTTTCTATTTATATTGTTATATATATATTAATTATTATACATTTGTACATTATAAATCGAGATAAAATTACATTCTCTAAATGCCGCAGAGCGCGATTACATAACATTTATTGCGTGAAGAAAGCAAACATACACAAGTAGTATAAGCGTAGTATAACCGCGACGGCTAGCGCGCAAAAATTGATCACGCGTTTTCGATTTTCCTCCTTCCCATCGTTTTCTGCTACAGAGTGTCGAATGTATCTGTGCGTATATTTTTATCATACAAATATATGACAAAGTACGTGTCGAACATGCCGTTAAAACATCGCGCGATATTCATATTCGCATCGTGAACATGTGTATCTCGAAGGAGATCTGACAATAAGAAGAGGAGACTCAGATGGGACATCGGACGCTATCCACTACCTATTTTCCACTCTGTAGTATGGCCATGGTATGGGTTTATCGCAGTAGATTTAAAAGTGAAGTGGACGATTGAAAATTAAATATCAGGAAGAATATCACAAAGAAATTTTGCAAATAAAAAGTATGGAGTACACGAATGTAAGAAACGGGACTCATAAAAATTACCTCATAGTTGACATAATTTTATTAGACACATTGCCTTTTATTATCCGATATATCGCAATTCAGCACTTAAATAACTCCATTTTTAACGTTTACAGAGTTAAATCAATTTTTCTCTTCGCAACACTATTTAAATAGTAAGAGATCGATGAATGTAGTTTTTTGAACAATCCAAAATATTGTCATAAGAAACTAAAATTAAGTTAAAAAAAAAGAATTAACTCGTCTTAAAATTAAAAAAAAATTATTTTACGAAGAATTTTTGCGATATCTTAGTATACACAAGCAAATGGGAATCCCAATATAGCAAAATTGTTCAATGATTATTACTATCACCTTGTTTTTTTATTTAAAATCATACAAAATTCAAAATTATTCCAAAAACTCGCGTTTAGAAAAGACTCGCCGTTCTCGTCTCGTACCTACCTACTTACCTACCTACTTGGCGTAAAACTCTGGCGGCTCTTTTGATTCTTCCCGCGTTGTCGACAAAATAGGTCGCGACCGAAAGACTGTACCGATCTCATCGCAACAGGTCGCACGGGCCCGCCAGCCAGGTGAGCGAATGTAACACAAGATAGCATTACTATCAAACCTGGGAGGCAAGAGGAAGTCCGAGTGCTAGTCGGTTGGTTATAGTTGGTTGGTATACGATTAACAAGTACCTTGTCGTACCTCTCGTACCGCGACGTTTAACGAGCGTCATCGGTGGGGAAGCGATCCGAAGCGCGCGGCGGCCTTACCACCACCTTCTCCTCCGCCTGGCCTGACCAGCTTCCACCTGGCACACCCGATCTGAACCGAAGCTCGCCGAACGGACGTGTTAATGTGCCGGTTCACCCGTGGTCCATCCTCCGGAACGACGACGAGGACGACGACGATCGCCGCTGCTCTTCGTGGCACCGCAAGCCGTCCGACCAACCGGCGCTGCCCACCCGGCGCGATCATCACCTTGCTCGGTTGCCTCGCTTATTCAGTCCCGAGTTCATCGTCATTTCACACGTATCTCGCGCATTCCGCTCGCTTGCTCGAGTCGTTGAGCCGATCCACCGGGAAGGGACCGGACATGAGAAGTGAGCCACCCGTCGCGTCGGAAGTGTAGTAGTGCCAGTGTAGTGCCTCTTAATGGAGCGTGCCGCCGACGTATAACCGCTCTCGTCGTGTTTCTCGTTACTCGCAACAGGTATGTTTTGTCGGAAATTGTATGATTTCGCGGACGAAGAACGCGCGAGAGGACACGCGAGTTTCTTCTCCGTTACTTCTCCAAATAGCAGTCGCGAAAATCGATTGGGGTATTAAGTCCGGGGAACCGTGTGTGCCCCCGAACGATGTGGACGCGTGTACTTTGGACGAACGAAGCGGAAATACGTGCGACGCAGGTGTTCAGTTTTTCGTTTGTGTCAAAAATCAGGATTCCATGATCCGTCGATGTTGAAGAGAACGGAATACTTTTTGGAAAGCTACCGTAAAAAGTGTAAAATTAAAAAAAAAACGAATAAATAGGCTCTTCGAAAGAACATCTGTATCAATGTATAAAAGATTACACAAAAATGGTTTCCTAAAATGAAAGATTTATATCTGTCATGAATACCAATGAATTGTAGACTTTATTGTGGCAACAGTAAGCGAAATGTTTAACGATCCTGCTAACCTGATTTTACGAGTTTTCATTTAAACGTTTTCGCCAAAACAAACTAATTCACTGATATTTGCAGTTTAGTAACTAGATGGTCCGCGATCACATTTTTATTCAGCGTCGCATTTATTTCCGAAATCCTTGAATTCCAGGTTTTATCTGTTCAATTACGAAGACCGCAATGGAGAAGTAAAAGAGAAGCAGCCACATTAAATGCGTGTCATTTTACACTTTGTACGAATGCACGAATTGAATTGAACTTTATCGTGGCGTCGAGACGACGATGACGATAATAAAAAAAAAAGAAAAAAAAGGTAGAAGAGTGATACGAGCAAATATCGTACGCAGTAGGTGCCGCGCGACGTAGTAAGAGATAAGTAACTAGTAAGAGATAAATGTGAGACGATGAGATAAAGTTAACGACAGATTGATTCCTCAGATGTTGATGCTAAAAGTCGGTTGATATCAAGTCGGTTTATTCGCATTTATCCAAATAAACGCTTCTCTTTTTTTCCAATAATCTTTACGTTACATCGTGGATGTTCGATTTTTCGCTATCGATAACCCAATCTATCCGAGTGTGTCACATACGACGAATTGACAGTCTTGATAAATAGTAAAAATTGTTTGATTTTTTAATGACTTTTCGTAGAATATTATTTTCTTCTGTATTTGATATTACTTTCTCGTATTTTATTTTACATATTTTTAATATTGTAACTGTACCAAGTATTTTTAAAGAGAGCTTCCATTAGGATCCTTTGATTTAATTTGTTGATTAATATAAATTATACAAAGTTGTTCGATCGCTCGTTGAAGTCTCCGGCTCTCGCGCGTTGCATTCTACGCCACTGACCGTTCTCCACAGATATTTTCAAAGTCAATGACTGCGACTGCTGTGCTCACGCCTGTGCTTCAAGTTCATGGCGAGACACGGATATGCCATGTACACGATGATTTTATAATTAGAGTAATATGTTTACATTTACAATTCACAAATCGGTGCACCAATGGTTATTCCGTTTATCAAGTGATTACATTAATAATTTTCATTCATCCAGACTGTTTGTTTCCATCTTTTTGTTTTTTCCAACCAACGTTTATCCATGATATGATGAATAAATGTTTAAAATTGTCAGATTTTGTTAACATTCATTGTTAACATTTGGAACGGGACGCGAAGAATGAAACTAAAGTATAATTTTACATTTGGCGACAGGACACTCGAACGATTACTAAAAGATTTAAATGTATTCGAGCACATGACGCAACGTGACACACTCGTAATCATAAAAATCATAGTAGATTCGTCAGATCTTACACCAAACGTGTATCACCTATAGATATTGCACTAAAAAATTGGTTTGTCTACGTAAGTAATAACATAATTTCCACAATTGCGACAAAAAATAGAGCTATTATTGCGAGAGTATATTGGAAATGTTACGGAAACAGAATTAATTCAAATTTTGAATCAGCAATTTGTACATTTTTTAACAAGACGTTTAACGTAGTTGAGGGTTTTGTCTTCTTTTTTTCTCGTTTTTTCCTTCTTTTATTTTAAATTACGGTTTCCCCAAATTTGTCTCTAAACTCTATTTAAGAAACACCATGACCGATCTAAGTACTTTTACTACTTTCCAACCTAAGAAATTCAATTTCTCCAAAAGCAAATTGCTCAGACCGTTCCGATGACAATGCGAAGTGTACTTATTCGTTCAGGCCTCATTCATGAGCAATAACTTTTCTACCTACCTACCTACCTACCTTTACTATGTCTGTCCTGCTAAATTGTATTGCGCAGCCAAGCGCGAATCACGGTGCATCTGATCGGTGCGTTCTGTTCGGAGAATTGAATTTTCCTCGCTTCAATAAATCCTGTCAATGCGCGATTGTCTCTCAGATGTCAAGGGAAATCGGTCTTTAGCCGTGGGCATAGATTGCATCGGTAGATGTTGATAGTAGCGCGTTGATGTCGCGGGAGGAGGCTAGCTTGCATAAAATCAAATCCATAATCCTTTTTTCCTCCCAGTTAAAATGTGTGTAATGTGTGCGTAACTTTGCGAAAAATTGATTATTTACGCAAATATTATATTATTTTCCAAATTAGTTTTTGCATTATATTGTATTATATGAATCTCTTTTCGAAAAGATCTGTCGCGCTACAAAATGTATTTTCCTCTTCTTTATTTCCTTCGGATCGGCGATCCGCGACAACGTGCGACGGTATTAGAACTGAAGAGAGATTGATCTCGAGAGGATTCTCGATGGATTCTCTCGTCGGGATCCGTATGTCTCGGCGGACAAACTGCCTATAACCCACTTTTGCGAACAGGTTTTGTGCTGCTTCTCCGCGGTAACGGTGATCGACCAGACACTACTGATGTGCGCTTGGGATGTGCTTTTCCTCAGAAATAGATGCAGTGACACGCGTGTACGCGTGTATCGTTCGATTCTTGGGATTGACTTGGAGTACTCTGTTGACTCTGTAGCGTTGATAAATTCTCAGACTCGCGAGAAACTCTTGTGTCACTTTTCTCAAGATTTAATATAATGATAATATGAAATATGTTGTCTTGCTCTCGTTTTAATCAATACTATTAGATATAATTGATAAGATTTGTTCCAACGAATACTCTTCATGTAACGTCATTCATGTTTTGCGAACATCCGCTTTAATACATTAATCTTTTGTTTTTAGGCGGAGTGCCGACTTAATCAGGACTTAAGAGATGGTCATCGTCACACGAGTGAGTTTTTATACCTTCGCTTGTAACGCTTATCTCGCCTCTGTCATTATCTCGACAGAGATTTAAACGACGTGCCACACGGTACTCCGTGTCGCTAACAAAAAATATTTTAAAAGTGAATTCCTGTGAAATAATACTGTGCAAATGTTGAAAAAGATTATTATTTTGTACGGTTTTTCCATTTTTACAAAGCAAAAATTGTCTCCAAGTTATTGTAGAAATTTGCTTAAAAGATTTCCTGTTAATGACGCGGGATATTCTTATGTATCAATTAACTTGTCAAATGTATTCTTCTTCCAAATGTTTTTACTCACAATCAGTTTACTTGACAGTTAATTTGTCGAGGGTACCGCGAATAATTTCCCGCGGGTGGAAAGCGCTTAGAAATTCGCGTACGAATGCGTGCGGTCAATCGAGTGGCGAAACTAAAGTTCGATGAAGCTGCATGCAGCAGCTGGCGATCGCGCGCGGCTTAATCCATTACAATTTACCGCTTTCCTCGTCGTTCTCGCCGAACACGGTTAGTAGGAATCTGTGACGAGTGAAAATAACCAAACAACAGTCACACCGTGTTCTCTCGTTGTAAACAATGATGATGTGCCGCTAAATAATGCTCACGTAGTCACTTTGATGGCAGTACGGTGCATAAGTTTGCATTATTTGCGCAACTCTACTTTTTATTTCATTTCCTCGAATCATCGTCGCATTGATATACTAACCGCAAGAGATTAAACGCCATTTTTTCCGCCACATCGTGTAACCGAGGATTCTAAAAGTTTAGGATTTCAGAAATAAGTATGCTGAAATAAGTATTGCTCGGAGATTTCGAAAATATTAAGCACATGTGTGTGTGTGTGTGTGTGTGATTTGCGAACTTATTATTTACCACTTATTTTATTTCTACAATGTTATATTTTCATTCATTTTAATTTTTTTATTCATTTTCTTTCTTCCATTTTTATTATTCGTATTGGAACCTTTGAGATAAATTTACCGAGCCACACAATTGGCTGAGACGGATGTTGACATAAAAATGTTCAGATTCCAAGATAATATATTCTAATAAAATTATCAAGAATGGATTGAATGTGAAAAACACACTCAATCGTCACAAACTTTGGAAAAACATGCTTTCCAGCTGCAAGATCTTGACACACAATTTGCAGACACTTTGCGCAAAGTATTCCACGTGCACTCAATTAGTTAACAGTTGACGATAACGTTTGTTCCTATCGCAGTCTATATGCAATAACAAATGTGGCTCATGCTGGAAAAAAAAGAAGGAAAAGAAGGAACGCAGACAATCGAGACTCTGCTATCATCGCGTGCGAAGAACGATTGTAGAAATCAAGAGGATTCGGTCCATTGGCTTTCTTACGTGAGTAAATCCGTGCAATGTGTGTAAACGGGAAGTTTGTTTCGTGTAAGTGAAAGGCAGCGATTACCGACAGCGTTGCATTTATGCGAAATTTGTGCCAGGCGTGTGCGCGCGTTGTCGACGACGATGAAATGTCAGTCGAGTTTACGACGATAAACGGCTGGCATCCAAAGGTCGCGAGACACTGCATTCGGAAAGTTGAGCGGTATTTTATATTCCGCAGATATTTCGTCAATTGAAAATGAAAAAAACAGACAGACCAGACGGCTGTGCACACAGTAAGAATATGCCACCCACGCGAAATCCTAGACAAATGACTCCGCACGCCGGTATGAGGGAATATATTTTCATCAGGACGACGACACTGACATAAATCTCGAGACTGACCGGTCAGTTAATTAGGCATAGTTAACGGTCCTTCATCACTCGGCGGGCGGCGTATGCCCTGCGCATCCACCGCCTTGATATTTTGTTTCGCGCGAGCGAAACCACACTAGCTGTCGTATAACGGGACGCGAATCGCTCCTCGGTATTGCGTTTGATCCTTCGATCCACTCATATTTCACTGTATCTCTCATTTATCCGAGTCTTTTTCTTTTCCATCGTGTCGTGAAAAGTTTTCATCTGTACATTGTTAATTATAATTGTTAATTTAAATGCTCGATGAGCGAATCCTTTTATTTCCATTTTAATTCTTTACTTTATTTTTAACTTTTGTTAAATTTTTTATTCTTAAATAACGAGCGCTGTTTTCTCATCGCGTTTTCTCAGCATAGACGCTTGAAACATTCTATTTAATTCTAACAATATTCGCGCGACCAGTACGGAAACACATCGTCTACAAAGGATCGATTTTTTTTTTATAGTTACTCTTCCCCACTTATCAATCGCGCCCGACGGTTCACAATTAAGTTAAGCAAGGCGGCGGGTATTGCTGCGGCTTCATTAAGGCTCACCGAACTCCCACGAAACGCTCCGTGCAGCAGTTCCGCGTGCTGCAACTGTTTTGCGCGTGTGGTGTCTACGTGTCCACACATCCACAAGTACGCACGCGGGTCGCGCACCTGATACATACGTCCCGATTGTTCACTTCACCGGAACATCGGAAGAGCCTCATCCGTTCCTCGTCTCGAAATAAACGCCGCTTCGATCTCGTCGATCTATCTTTTGCCTCGCCACCAGCAGTTTTACTTTCACGCGCTTGCCAAATCTTCAATACATCAAACATGAATTTACGAAAATTTTATAAACTTTTACAAACAATACGCAAACTTTGCGCAAAGCTGCTCCATGCTCTCATGTTTTAATATATTTTGCCTCGGTGTATAAAAATTAATTTGAGAAAACAATCGCAATGATGATGCTCGAATGAAATAGCAGGAAATCATCATTTTTACGGACGAATGTGCGCAAGCAAATCATGTGCTCTCCTAATCTATTATAATTGTAAATGCGAATGACGGAAAGTAAGCGGAACTATAAACCTGTCGTTCCAATAAACGGCAGCGTTGAACAAATGCGCAATCAGGAGTCGGCTCCTCCCGCATCACAAAAGAAAAAGAAAGCACATCGTGTGAGATAATACGATATTATACAACAGTTTCTCACATCTCGTGCCGCGCGCCCAATGGTAAAACGTACAGTTATTACAACGGTACACATAATTCAATTTAAATCTAATGCCTTTGCGTTAATGCGAATTCCATCTTGCAGTTTGCGACGAGAACTCGTTTCTCCTTAGGTATTTCTCGTTTTGCATGTCCGCCGGGCGAGATTCATTGTCATAAAAATTGGCTAGCGCCGGCAAACTGGATTACCTAACAACATGAATTACTGGTTTTATTCATTAAAGCTGTAAGATGCCGCGTCCAAGTGTAACAACACGTTCACTACCCTCGAAGCAATTATTTAGGTCATACTCGTACGAATGTGTGTGTGTGAGACAGTAGCGTAGAAACGCATGTAGAAACTGCTTTGTATCTTGTTCGCACAACTTCATTCCATCCAAGATCCAATGAGAACCAAAAATATATAAATCCCTTCCATAAGGAATTTGACAAGTTTGCAATCAGAAGCTGACTCATGTGCCACGTGAACAAGAAAGCGAATGAGATAAGACAAAGTAACACAACAGTGTCGCACATCTCGCGCGTTGCGCGTCTAACGACAAAAAATACCTATTATCATATATTTTCTTCTATAAGAAAAATGACTCGTGATTTGTCATACTTGTCAATGACGAAACGAATCCAACAATTTATAAATAGAGAAATGCGTACCCACGTTGTATAATTATCTCGCTTATCGCGATAACGCGTAATAGCATTTAATCGCTCAGCACGATCGCACTGTACTCGTATTTAATGAATTGTACAAATGTGCGAATGTGTTGGAACTTTTCACTGTTGCTTTCCAGCAAAAAATGTATTTAGACACATTGCACGATTTGCATCCAATCACATAGCATCGAATCACGTAAAGGATTGGCGAAGAAGAGAAGCGTATTGAAATATTGAAATGTTTATATCGCAGGGGGATTATATATGGATCGAACCAATCTCAGGAAGAGAATTTGATGTCGCAATCGGCGCGCGAGTAATCTCAGCGGAAGGTAGACGTATTCAAGTTAAGGACGACGATAACAAGGTAATGGGATCACATGTAACATTGTTGCGCGCTTATCTCAAGAGAAATTCCGGGATTCTTATCTAATCGTCAGGGTGACAAACTCGTGCAAAAGAGTATACAGTAGCGTTTCGTAAAGTTTCAACATCAGTCCTAGAGTATCGCACTTTATATAGCATTTTCAGCGTTTGGACGAATTGAGAAATAAAAGAGAATTCAATTGCAAATTTTTGTATTGCAATGTATTATATATTGATAAACTTTGATAGTAGCGATTGATACATCTGATGGAAAATGTCCTTCCATCACTATATATTAGCTGTTTTTTCACTTCTCAAGGCGATTAATTATCTATTTTATTTTTGACGCAACGATGGCAAATGATGGGCGAATGATTCCACAGGAACAATGGCTAACACCGGAGAGACGAATAAAGGCCATGCATGCCACTTCGGTGCAAGGTGTAGAAGATATGATCAGTTTAGGAGACCTCCATGAAGCAGGCATCCTGCGAAATTTGTTAATACGCTACAATGAAAATCTCATTTATGTAAGTCTCTCGGCGATTGCGATCGACACGCAACGAATCGACCAAATTAGAATGGAAATGTTCTTTTAATTTGTTACTCGATAAATTTGTATTTGTTGTTTATATTTCTCGTATTCTCGTATTACTTGGTCGAAATGCAACCGAGTAAACAAAATGCAGGTGCTTGAATCCCGCATGAACGTAACAATGTCATTTTGCAGACATACACGGGCTCCATCCTGGTCGCCGTCAACCCGTATCAGATATTGCCTATTTATACCGCGGAACAGATCAAACTGTACAAGGATCGTAAAATCGGCGAGCTGCCGCCGCACATATTCGCCATCGGCGATAACAGTTACGCACACATGAACCGATACGGCCAGGATCAGTGTATAGTAATTAGGTGCGAGCACTTATCTTTTTTTTTCCACGTGGCATCGAAGCCCGCGTTACGGGCGATTCATGACGCATGACGCATGAGTTTACTCGCGACGATCAACGACTATAAGCTTTTTAGCTTGGATAATATTTTTTACTTGCCGCTTGAATAAATGGAGCCTATCGATTTTTCTCTGTGCAACAATTAATTTTTTATATTCTATCTATATCTCTGGAAAGTAATCAGTAATTAATTGCTACTCGAAACATCTATAAAACCCTTTTGCCATATTAACGCTCTATATTAATCGCGTGTATTTTAGTGGCGAGAGCGGAGCGGGAAAGACAGAGAGTACGAAATTAATTTTGCAATATCTAGCAGCAATCAGCGGGAAACACTCGTGGATCGAGCAACAAATTTTAGAAGCAAATCCGATACTCGAAGGTAAAATGAGTTTACGCCTGAATTAAAGATTGTTTTAATGACTTGCTATTTACTGATGATCGTAGCCTTTGGCAACGCAAAAACCGTAAGAAACGACAATTCCTCCCGTTTCGGCAAATACATCGATATTCATTTCAACGAGCAAGGCGTGATAGAAGGGGCCAAGATCGAACAGTATCTCCTGGAGAAGTCACGGATCGTATCCCAAAGCTCGGATGAGAGGAACTATCATATTTTTTATTGTATGCTGGCCGGTCTTTCAAAGGAAGAGAAACAAAAACTCGAGCTGGAGGATGCGTCTACGTACAAATATCTCACGGGGGTAACCGAATACACCACAGTAGTAGAGTAGAAACAGGGGGAAACAAGAAAGAAGATGTACAATGTATTATGATTTTTCTTTTCAGGGTGGCAGCATCACTTGCGAGGGGCGCGATGACGCGGCCGAATTCGCCGACATAAGATCCGCCATGAAGGTCCTACTCTTCTCCGATGTGGAAATCTGGGAGGTGCTTAAACTGCTCGCAGCTTTGTTACACATGGGAAACATAAAATACCGAGCAACCGTCGTAGGCAAGGAATTTAATTACGAAAATTCCACCAATTGGTCGAAATTAACAATCTTTCATCTAATTAGATTGACAACTTACAGATAACTTGGACGCTACAGAGATACCGGAACAAACGAATGTAAAGAGGGTGGCATATTTACTGGGAGTGCCAGTACAATCTTTGATAGACGCGCTCACTCGCAGAACTATATTCGCGCACGGCGAGACAGTGGTGAGTATTTTCTCGTGCGCAAAGCCTTAAGAAGCTTCGAGCAACTATTGCTGCCTCGCTTTGCAATTGGATTCATGTCTGTATCTCATATCTATAGGTTTCCACGTTGTCGAGAGATCAGTCGGTCGATATCAGAGACGCATTTGTCAAAGGCATATATGGCCGATTGTTTATACACATTGTAAAGAAAATTAATGAGGCCATATACAGGCCGAAGAACAACTCCCGCAGTGCTATAGGCGTATTGGATATCTTCGGCTTCGAGAACTTTAGTCATAATAGTTTCGAACAATTCTGCATCAATTACGCCAACGAGAATCTCCAGCAATTTTTCGTTCAGCATATATTCAAGTTGGAGCAAGAGGAGTACAATCACGAGGGCATCAATTGGCAGCATATAGAATTCGTCGACAATCAGGACGCTTTAGATCTAATTGCTATTAAGCAACTTAACATAATGGCGCTCATCGATGAAGAGTCCAAGTTTCCCAAGGTAACATATTTGTGTTATTTTATTTCATTGAAATGTCCACAGACGTGTGTGACTTTCACGCTTTACGGTGTGTTTGTCATTCTGACAAATATTTACTGTGGGACAAAAATTTTCCAAAAATAATTACTCACTATTTTATAATTTTAATTGCCATCTGCTTTTCAGGGCACAGATCAAACTATGTTGGCGAAAATTCACAAAACCCACGGTAGTCATAGAAATTATTTGAAGCCCAAGTCAGACATCAACACGTCCTTCGGCTTGAATCACTTTGCGGGCGTCGTCTTTTACGACACAAGAAGCTTCTTGGAGAAGAATAGGGACACATTCAGCGCGGACTTGCTGCAGCTTATTCACATATCGTCGAACAAATTTCTTCAAGCCTGTTTCGTCGAAGACATCGGCATGGGGTCGGAGACGAGAAAAAGAGCACCTACGTTGTCGACGCAATTTAAGAAATCGCTGGATTCGCTCATGAAGACTCTGAGCAGCTGCCAACCTTTCTTTATACGATGCATCAAACCAAACGAGTATAAAAAACCGATGGTAAGCATCGATACTTGCATCCGTAATATCGCAACAACTAACAAGTGCGACATTCAATTCCAGATGTTTGATCGAGGTCTCTGCTGTCGACAATTAAGATACTCCGGCATGATGGAGACCATTAGGATTCGTCGAGCTGGCTATCCTATTCGCCATTCCTTCCCTGAATTTGTGGAAAGATATCGATTTCTCATATCCGGAATTCCACCCGCGCACAAGGTATAATTTATCATGCAAGTGCTTGAGAAAACGAGTGATTGGAACCAAATTAATAATTTTGTATTACGAATAATAGTTGAGTTTCTAACTAAAAATCTCATCTCGTTAATTTCAGGTGGATTGTCGCGCGGCATGTTCAAAAATTTGTCACGCAGTGTTGGGCCGGTCGGATTATCAACTCGGGCACACCAAAGTCTTCCTCAAAGACGCTCACGACCTGTTTCTCGAACAGGAACGCGACCGCGTGCTGACACGGAAAATTCTGATATTGCAGCGCAATATTCGCGGCTGGGTCTACAGACGTCGGTTCCTCAGGATGCGAGCGGCGGCCATGATTGTGCAAAAGTATTGGCGGGGATACGCCCAACGTCAACGATACAAACGCATGAGAATCGGTTACATGCGGCTGCAAGCGCTAATCAGGTCGCGCGTGCTATCGCATAGATTCAGGCATCTTCGCGGACACATCGTTGCGCTTCAAGCGCGCGCCCGAGGCCACCTAGTGCGCAAGATGTACCGGAAAAAGCTCTGGGCTATAGTGAAGATACAGGCGCATGTGAGACGGCTGATTGCGCAAAGACGATACAAGAAGATCAAGTACGAGTATCGATTACACGTTGAGGCACTGCGACTCCGAAAGAAGGAAGAACGTGAACTGAAGGATCAGGGCAATAAACGAGCCAAAGAAATCGCGGAACAAAACTACAGAGTAAATATGAGCGTTTCCATTTGCATTCAATTATTAGAACTCGATAAAAGAACTCAAAGTCTATGACTATAAAAAGTAAAGGAATAGCATGTCACAATTGACAATTTAAATTGGCAAAAGAGACTTTCGCGTAATTATTGAATTTTATAACACTGTGTGTACAAATTTTAGGAGCGCATGCAAGAGCTGGAACGGAAGGAAATTGAGATGGAACTGGAAGACAGACGGCGCATGGAAATTAAGAAGAATTTGATTAACGACGCGGCGAAAAAGCAAGATGAGCCGGTCGACGACAGCAAACTGGTCGAAGCTATGTTCGATTTCTTGCCAGATTCCAGCAGCGAGGCTCCGACACCAGCGAGAGAAACGTCTGTGTTCAATGTAAGTCGTAACAATTTGCTGATGTATAGAGGATGTTTAGAAATTTGCGAATCAAAATTATTTTGGAATTATAAATTACATTTCTTATTCATTACAGGATCTTCCTGCACCGAAAGCCGATCAGCAGGAGATAATCAGTCCAATTCAGATGGCTTCCGAGGACGAGGAGGATTTATCCGAATTCAAGTTCCAGAAATTTGCGGCCACGTATTTCCAGGGCAACATCACGCATCAATATTCGAGGAAACCGCTAAAACATCCACTACTGCCCTTGCACACGCAAGGCGATCAGTTGGCCGCACAGGCATTGTGGATAACTATATTGCGATTCACGGGCGATCTGCCTGAGCCGCGATTTCACACGATGGACCGAGATACCACCTCGGTGATGTCAAAGGTGACGGCGACGCTCGGACGGAATTTTATCCGGAGTAAAGAGTTCCAGGAGGCTCAGATGATGGGCATGGATCCGGTAATTTCATTAAATTAATCTCTAAAAATCGAGAATCTCTGCTTTTGCTAATCAAAGTAATATTAATATTAGCTTATTATATAATCTTGGAATTTACATTAGTATTATTATTGTGAATCGTACATTTCTATCTTGCGGCTTATTCGATAGACGATATTTATATTCTTTTAGGATACGTTCCTGAAACAAAAGCCACGCTCCATCAGGCACAAACTAGTATCGCTGACCCTGAAGCGAAAGAATAAGCTGGGTGAGGATGTGCGAAGGAGATTGCAGGAGGACGAGTACACTGCCGACAGCTATCAATCTTGGTTGGAGGCTAGACCCACGTCGAATCTTGAAAAACTGCACTTTATCATCGGTCATGGTATACTGCGCGCCGAATTGCGGGACGAAATATACTGTCAGATCTGCAAACAGCTGACCAACAATCCGTCCAAGTCGTCGCACGCGCGCGGTTGGATTCTGCTGTCTCTCTGCGTCGGCTGTTTTGCGCCTTCTGAAAAATTTGTCAACTACTTGCGCGCCTTCATCCGAGAGGGACCACCTGGTTATGCGCCCTACTGCGAGGATCGGCTAAAGAGGACCTTCAACAACGGCACTCGCAATCAGCCGCCAAGCTGGCTGGAGTTACAGGCCACCAAATCGAAGAAGCCGATTATGCTGCCGATTACTTTCATGGACGGCAATACAAAAACGCTGCTGGCCGACTCAGCTACCACCGCCAGAGAGCTTTGCAATCAGTTGTCCGACAAGATCTCTCTCAGGGACCAATTCGGTTTCTCCCTCTATATCGCACTGTTCGACAAGGTGTCGTCCCTGGGCAGCGGCGGCGATCACGTAATGGACGCCATCTCCCAGTGCGAGCAGTACGCGAAGGAGCAGGGTGCCCAGGAACGAAACGCGCCGTGGCGATTGTTCTTCAGAAAGGAGATCTTTGCGCCCTGGCACGAGCCGACCGAGGATCAAGTAGCCACGAATCTCATCTACCAGCAGGTGGTGCGCGGCGTCAAGTTTGGCGAGTACCGTTGCGACAAAGAAGAAGACTTGGCGATGATCGCGGCGCAGCAGTATTACATAGAGTACCACACCGACATGAATGTCGACAGATTGTACACCCTCCTGCCGAATTACATACCGGATTATTGCCTCACGGGAATCGACAAGGCGATCGATCGATGGGGACATCTCATCTTGCAGGCGTATAAGAAAGTGAGTCGAACGGTGGGAGAGCAACCGGGGGGGGGGGTTTTTTTTTTTTTTCTTTTTTTTATTAACAAAAACAATATTTGCTTGCAATATTGGCAACATAATGCACATATCCAACGGTGATCAAGTTGACACTTGTAACGTTTTGCTTCCAGAGTTACTACTTGAAAGAGAAGGTACCGGCGCTACGCGTTAAGGAGGACATAGTCGGCTACGCAAAGTTCAAGTGGCCTCTGTTGTTCTCTCGTTTTTACGAAGCCTATAGAAATTCCGGCCCGAATCTGCCGAAGAACGACGTTATTATAGCTGTGAATTGGACCGGGGTGTACGTAGTCGACGATCAGGAGCAAGTGCTCTTGGAGTTGTCCTTTCCCGAGATCACGACCGTATCTAGTCAAAAGTACGTAATGCGCTGAAAAGCATGAGACGAAAATTCATTACACCTCTAAACTTGGCGCGTTACTTTCATAGGACAAACAAGATGTTTACGCAGACGTTCAGCTTGTCGACGGTGCGCGGCGAGGAGTTTACATTCCAGAGCCCGAACGCTGAGGACATCCGTGATTTAGTGGTGTACTTCCTGGAGGGGCTAAAGAAGCGCAGCAAGTACGTCATAGCGCTGCAGGATTACAAGGCACCGGGCGAGGGCACATCATTCCTGACTTTTCAAAAAGGAGACCTCATTGTCCTCGAGGACGAGAGCACTGGCGAGACAGTGCTCAACTCGGGATGGTGCATCGGCACCTGTGAGAGAACCAGCGAGAAGGGCGATTTTCCTGCCGAGACGGTTTACGTGTTGCCTTCTTTGACGAAACCGCCCAACGATATATTGGTACGTCCGTGTATGAATAATTTTTTGTACATTTTCACTACGTGAAAATATACCGATAAAAATGAAAATTGCCATGTGAAAAAGATGATTGCGACAAGAGATGCTTGGAAGAAATACAATTTTGTTCCAAACCATCAACAAACATGTTATTAATTACATTATATTATGCTTTCTAACTTGGTTGATTACAATTTTTCAGGCCTTATTCAGTATAGAAGGCACGGAGAACAGTCGCAGACTCTATCCGCAGCAAATGAACGGCGTAGACTCCCGCGACAAGCCTCACACTCTACTAGAATACGCGATCGATCATTTCCGGTAAGCGGAAAAACAACGTCATGTTTTGTATCATGTAGTGAGTAATAATTATATTTCTGTAATTATATTTCTTTCAGAACACCGCCGAAAAGAACAATGTCCAAGACGCTGACGTTGACATCCGCGCGACGCGGCCACACGGACGAGTTGTGGCATCATTCTCGAGAACCGATAAAGCAACCGCTTTTGAAGAAACTCGTATCCAAAGAAGAGCTGGCCGAAGAAGCGTGCTTCGCTTTCAATGCCATTTTGAAGTACATGGGCGATCTGCCGACGAAACGGCCGCGCATCGGCAACGAATACACGGATCTCATCTTTGACGGGCCGTTGAAAAACGAAATTCTGCGGGATGAGATTTACTGTCAGGTCATGAAGCAGCTCACGGATAACCGCAACAGATTGAGCGAGGAACGAGGGTGGGAATTGATGTGGCTTGCCACTGGACTGTTTACTTGCAGCCAAAGCCTATTAAAGGTATGATATATCCCCACTGAATTTAACATGACATTTTTTTCAACATTTTCTATAGAATCTTATCAACGACATGCTCGACAAGAATAATCGACGAAAATTTATTTCTCACTGCAGGAATTAACTTTGTTCCTACGTACAAGACGCCATCCTATATCTCAAGATTCTTTACAAAGGCTGCAAAAGACCCTACGCAACGGTCAACGAAAGTATCCGCCGCATCAAGTTGAAGTGGAAGCTATTCAGCATAAAACCACGCAGATATTTCACAAGGTTTACTTCCCGGATGACACAGACGAGGCACGTATATTTTAAATACTTTGAAAATATAGGAAATATTCTGCATCGAGCATGCATTTTTGCTCTGTACAATTTTCATACTTTTTAAAAATGTATTTGAAATATATTTTTCTTCTTGGTGATTGTATAACTATTATTATTTCCGTTTTTACAGGCATTCGAAGTCGACTCCTCCACTAGAGCGAAAGATTTTTGTCAGAACATCGCGCAGAGACTCAATCTGCGATCGGCCGAGGGTTTCAGTCTTTTTGTCAAGATCGCCGATAAAGTTATCTCTGTCCCGGAAGGCGATTTCTTCTTCGATTTCGTACGGCACTTGACTGATTGGATCAGGAAAGCTAGACCATCGCGAGACGGTACGTAACTTTCAATAGCATACAAATATATTCTTCTTCATTCTACGTGTATTTTCATATTGACCAACGGATTTTTCAGGTGTGTCGCCACAATTTACATATCAAGTCTTTTTTATGAAGAAACTTTGGACAAATACAGTTCCCGGTAAAGACAGGAATGCCGATTTGATTTTCCATTTTCATCAGGAACTTCCCAAATTACTACGAGGTAAAAAATGACAGATATTTATACAATTTTAGCGCAGTGCTGTGCAAGTGTAAATTATATTTCTCATATTATTGTATTGTATTGCGCGCACATATAGGCTATCACAAGTGCACGAAAGAAGAAGCGTCGAGATTAGCAGCCTTGGTGTATAGAGTACGATTTGGCGAAAGCAAACAGGAATTACAAGCGATTCCGTAAGCATCTTTCATTACACACAGCTTTTAATTGGACAAAAGAGAAACATTGACTGTTTCGATTTCAGGCAAATGCTAAGAGAACTCATACCGGGTGATTTAATCAAGATACAGGGCGCTAATGACTGGAAGAGATCGATAATCGCTGCCTATAATCAAGATGCTGGTAATAAGCATGATAGAGCTTAAGCGCGTACGCGAAAGAGATAAGGGTTATTGAAAAAGTGTCTTCTTCATCTTTTAGGCATGAGTCCGGAAGACGCGAAGATTACATTCTTAAAAATCGTGTACCGGTGGCCGACGTTCGGTTCTGCGTTTTTCGAAGTGAAGCAAAGCACAGAACCGAATTATCCCGAGCTGTTACTAATTGCCATCAACAAGCACGGTGTGAGCCTTATACATCCTCAATCAAAGGTAATAAAGATGAGATTTTTCTTTCTCGATAAGAAATACACTAATGGTAATGATCACAGTATCACAGTATCTATACAAAATCTACGTTTCAAATTCGATCGGTCGATTTAGATAGATTTTCATATATTATCATTTAGCAACTTATTGTTAGCTATACTACTGATGGTAATTGGATCGTGTATTTTCAGGACATATTGATCACACATCCCTTTACAAGAATCTCCAACTGGTCGTCCGGCAATACTTACTTCCACATGACGATAGGAAACCTCGTGCGCGGCTCAAAACTCTTATGCGAAACCTCGCTGGGCTACAAGATGGACGATCTCCTGACTTCATACATTTCGCTGATGCTCACGAACATGAATAAGCAACGTACGATACGAATCAAATAACCAAAAGTTTCGGAATATATAAAACGTAAGTATGTCTTCCAAGGTGCTAACACTAATATCTTTTAGCTCGCGCGTTTATGCGTCTATTTAAGAATAATTATGTATTTGATGAAACTAAGCAGTTGCAATACCGTCTCAAGATGCAATGAATTTATGTTCACTTGATCGACGAGAGATTCTTTAAATTTATATACATATTTGATACGCAACGCATCACTGTTGATGTTATATTATACACGACGTAAATTTTATGCAGGTAATTTTAAAATCATTAATATAATTTATATCATAAAGTATAGGAAGTATATTTTGATATATCTCTGAAAAAGTTAAAATCTAGAAATCGTGTTTAATCATTTCTATCATATCTATCTATTTGTTAATTTATCATAATATATATATTTCTCATAATATAATCGATATATTAGGGGAACAACCATTAATATGTACACAAGTTGTTAGCTGAACGATTTGTACATGATTTGTACTTATGATTAGGAACTTGTCCGCAGCATTGTAAAATATTATCTCCTCACTACCCCCTCTTTACTATATTTTAAATCTTAATGGACCTTGTGCTCAAACTCATATTGTTTCCAAACAATCATACTCACCGCAGCCTAATAGCGGGCCTAATAGCAATTATGCATCATCGTTTTTACTCGAGAATAATGCATGTACTAGCTCCGCAAATCTACATGCGATAGCGAATAGCCAGAATGTTATCCGTCCAACGATATACGAGTCGCTTATCTCATCAGTGGGACGTAAGTCAAGTTTTTAAAAACCACGAGTTTCATTTCGCACAAAGAGATGTAGATACCAAGTGGCGTATTTGGAGAAAGAAAATTCTCGAAAATTTGCCTTACTACATCCGTAGAGTATAATTTCGAAATAAACGCCTCGTATAAGAATGTAATTACTATTAAGTCGCTCTTGTAATTGTGAATAAAAACGACCATGTTCTCCACGCACAAAGTACAAGCGTTAATCGTGAGTAAATTCCCATGGAATGTATACCAGCATTCCCCCTTTCCAACACGGATCTCTTCGGGAAGACGGATTCCCAAGACGATGCTATCTCACTTCCTTTCGAAGATGACGGCGTTTCGATTATCTCTTGTAAAAAAAAGAAGCAAAATGGTCGAAGAGTAGTACATATTAATGACCGAAAGCATTGTGCATTTTAATGTTTTCACATATTTATTCATTTATTAAAATTTTTTAAATATTGATATCTCGAGCTTTGGTTCTCACGTCAATTTTCACGTCAAATTTTCACCAAAAGGAGAATAGATTTCGCAATCATCGGAAGAAATCGAAAGAAATGATGAGAAATCTTCTCGTCGAGTTTGGGATGAATAAAAAAATAAAATCGTATAATATATAAAATCTCGATTTATTCTATAAATTATATAGTAGGGGGACAAAAATTGATATTTATATGTGTCTTCATTGCACTTATTGATATAATTACAACAAAGCAAATATAAATGTAATTTTCAATCGATTTTCAAATCAGAGAAATACTAAAAACACTCCAGATTATGATATAGAAAATCCTCGATCCATCTGAAAAAATTCAAGTGTTATAGCACACAAGTTCTCTCTCTCTCTCTCTCTCTCTCTCTCTCTCTCTCTCTCTCTCTCTCTCTCTCTCTCTCTCTCTCGCTCTCTCTCTCTCGCGCGGTATATGATATTATAATTTAAAAATAACCGTCCGCTTCGGGCATCCCGGCGCGTGTGTCCATCTTGGGTAAAAATAAAAAATAGTGTACAACGTCGTGATAATAAATTTATATATTAATATTATTTTTATAAATTTCCCTATATTGTATTCACGAGGGTTACGAGGTGGTGAAACGAAAATTAATCTCACGTGTGTACTTTGAAGATATCTAACGCAATTATTACACACCGGGCTCCACTTAAATTGTAATTACAAGTGCTGTACATGTAGACGCGTGACATTATATACACAAAATAACACGTATGCATATTGTTAGGAGAAAATCAGTGTGTTGCTTCTAAATCAAACTTGACGCGAAAATCATCTTTTTGAAATATAGAAAAGAGGAAAGAACACTGTATATCAATTCTACCGTGAGCCTCTGGCCTCTCTTACATGATGTTTTTGTGATCAGCAAATTCGCGCGACACACATTCACTTACCACACGCATCTCCTAATAAATAATGAAAAGTTTATCGACACCGCGCGCTTATGAGAATTTACAAATGTACCAAATGTCGAGTACGTTGCGCGCAGGCTCAAAAATACATTGCGTATCCCTCTTCCTATTCTACTTTGTACACGATGGACCATTCACACAAAGCGACGCTCGAACTTGAGTATAATTCTCGCATAAATCCGTTTTCTCTTCCTCTCTAAAACTTCTTTCTACATTGAGTTGAATAGAAAATTTCCAACGTATGTTCCAACGATTTGGAATTCGTGTTATAATTAGTGACGACAAAGCAAATTCGTTATTTCAGGACTGGTTATACCGAGTTTCGAGCGTAGCGGTAATTCCTCTCGTAACAAATGTAGTGTTAAAAGCACAACCATCGTTCGGACTGACCGATATGCAAATGTGGACTAAAACTGTGTTACCCTCATTACTAATTTATACTCTTTTGATACTTTTCCTTAAGAGACGCGACAATCAAATTTCAGCGTCGAAACGTATTTCGACGTATACAAGTGACAAATCAATTTTATCGCATGAATCGAGTACCTTGTAATCTCGTTTTCAAACTTTTTCTCGAAAATTCTATCCGTATACTCGGTCTATACACACTCACGTAATCCGTTAAACCTAAGATTGCTATATAAATTATTATCTCTGTAGATCTTTATCAACAACTTACAAGTTAGCCTACAATTTTCAGCGCGCGGAATTCAACGCGCCGCGTCGCGCAGCATGAGCGCATTGAGCGAAACGCTACGTCTTCGTATTGTCTAAGTTCTGCGCCGCGCTACTACCATCAACTTGGAGTAACAAGTCTTTCGCCAGATACGAGCAGTCACCGCCGCTCTCACTACCGTCGCCGCCGTCGTCGTCGTCCTCATCGTTATCGTCGTCGTCGTCGTCATCGTCGTCATCGTCGTCGTCATCGTCGTCGTCGTCGTTGTTGGGAGACACTACGGTTGGTGTAACACCGTCCGTATCACTACTACATCGTAGACTTTGGTTCGCATTATGACGATTATCTAGAAGACATCAGAGACCCGACTGTGGCGGTTGTCCGTGAGTATTCCACGGCACGTCGGCGGACATGGCAGCGGACGGTATGCTGGCCTGATTGTGCATAGCACGCGGCGCCCGCATAATCTCGTCAGCTGGCGGACAGTGCGGACGCGGCCCCGGCTCGGGCGTATACGTGAAGGTCAATCCAGTCGCGTAGATGATGCCGTCGTTGCGCACGAGGGAAACCGGCACCTGCGTCGGCTGTCGCACCCACAGCCACTCGCCGCGGAACAGCGAAATGTCGGGCACAACGCAGAGCATACTCTCCTGGCACCTGTACATCGTCTCGGCCTCTACGTCGCCAAACCAGACTTGCAGGTTCGGCGTAAAATTGTCGCCTGTCAGCTCGAGCATCGCCACATCGCCGCCGCCATTGAGATGCAGACTGTGGACTAGCGGCACAGGTGTCACCGGTGATCGTACCGGACCCATGCCTTCGAAGAACTGATACTCGGCCTTGTCGGTGCTGATGATCGTCCAGCAGGCGCCGTCATTGATCATCTCCTTGTTGGCCTCCTTCGGACAGGGCGTAGCCTGAAATTGTATTATACGTTCCTGCGACAGGCACAGGTACATGTGATCCGTGTCCTTCATGTAGAAGGCGCACTTGTGCAACTGCGAGACGGGATCGTCCGCCTCGAGACTGGCCATCTGTTTGTCCACTTTACGGATGACCAACCGCGGTAGCGCCATCCCCGTGACGGAGCACACCAGCTTCACGGTGCTGCCGTAGTGCACGTAGCCGTCACGCACTTGAAATTCCTCCGACTCGCTCTCGTTGTCGTCGAGGAGATGAATGGTGAAGGCGCCCCATTGCGTCGAGCTCGCGTGAAAATTGCCGTTCTCTACGTGGAGGTAGCGCGTACTGACCGTCTGCGAGCGCAGTCGATTGAAGAGCGCCACTTTCGTGCCGCTGGCGATGCACAGATCCGCGTTCTTCAAGGACTGTTTCTTCTTGGACGGCTTCGAGATCACCTTGATACGCTTGCTGTGAAACACGCCGATGTCGTGGCCGCTGCCGTAGAACATCTTGACGGAGAGCATAAAGTGCTTGCGTTTGTCCGAGTCGGAGATATAGAGAGTCTTGGCCGCGCAGTATTGCTTGCCGTTATTCAGGTCCAGCTGCTGCATGTCCTGATCCGAGTTGCCGATGCCGATGAAAGCGCACAGTTGAGCGCTCTGCTCGCTCTCGCCCTCGCGCAGCATCTGTTCCTGACGCATCCGCCAGCCGTCGCCGAAGAGGTAGATGCACGGCGGCGGACAGAAGAATCGCTTTTCGTTGCCGTACGACTTTTGCGCGACCTTGGCGTGCAGGATCACAATCACCATGTCGCTGCGGTCGCGCAGGTAACGCTCCATCGCCTCGCGGGTCAACCGCTGGTCCTGATGATCGGGCCTGTAAATACCGGAGCCGAAGCGCGGATACACAGACATGACCGAGGTCGGCGAAGGCGGGGATTGCATGCCATGCGCCATCGTGGGCAGTCCAAACTGGTGTGGCATATTTAAAAGCTCCGAATTCGACTCACGCGAACGGGATAACCAAAGCACTGACGCCGTTGACGTCGGTTATATCTTCATCTTCTAATGCTCATCCAAGTGCCGTCCCGAGTTTTTTACCTACGGCAAAGTAAAGTATCTAATAGTATTTGTAAATAGAAATTTAAGTCGAGATTGGAAATTGGTTCATTGTCCTATAATTATCACTCGTTATTGAATGATCGTATCATTACTAATACCGTTTCGTGGGAAAAGTGCGATAGTGGCGTGCTGCAGCATGCTGGGTGAAGAATCGAAGAGGAATTAAACATAACGGAAATAGTCATTAGTCGAAATCGTGTAACTCAGCCAAAGTTGCAACTGTAATAAAGAACGATGATAATTCATCGACCCCTGCTATCGTGGAGTCTGTCAGACTGCTTTTTTTTTATCTTATTGTTAATGTAAAGAAGATTCTTGAATAATCGAGATTGATTTTACAAATATAAAATGTTAAAATAGTACGCGATAAAAGTATAGATGTTCCATGATACTCGTTAAGAATTGAATAAACAATAGCCGAACAATGTATTTCTTTATTCATATACACATTATGCACCGAGTAGATATGTAACTCAGATATATATTTGTAAAGGTATAAAATATATTTAAAAAAGTGAACATTATCGCAGCCTTAAACGCGCGATAATGGTATTCGCATAATACCAAGTGTCGCCGTTAGTCATTCGCGCGATTAAATGCTCCAAACTGCATACAAATACTCGCTTAAAGCGTGAGAAATGATATTCGCTCTTTTTTTTCTACAAAGGGGAGGGGATGGGACGGGACGTAATTAACTTGAGATATCTTTCTTCGAATAAGCTACCAAGAATTGCTAGTCTTAACACAGGAAAGAGGAAACAACATATACATACACGCACACGCCGTGAGAACCGAGCTGGGCTCATTTTTACCGCTCATTTTAATGAATTAAGGCAATCTTTACCACTGGGGCCGTGCAGGTAGATTTTATGTATCTATACAATGGAAAACTCATACGTCATAATTAATAATGCAAGTTTCCAGAGTGTTAATTACGTTACGTTAATTACATGAAATCAATGCTATAAATGGAGCATTGCTATAAACGATTATGTACGTATGAAAAATTTACAAAAATTTCTTTTATCTCAGCTTGCTATTCTCTAATCTTTTCAATACTACTTGTTTGAAACCTAATTTTGAAAAATCACTAAATTTAATCATTGTTTTACTTCCACTGCTGATCAATTTTCTTATTTGTAGAAAGTTAAATTTTTTAATTGTATCATTAATAAAAGAAATGTCTAATTGGGCTTTCTTAATGATAAAATTATAAAATTAAAATTTAGGTGCGCAAAGGTCCCAAAGGATGTAGTACACCTCCAGTAAAAATCAACGGTCGAACAGATTAGAAAAGTCAATTTGGTATGCCGAAACATTGTAACCCAACAGCAATCCAACATCTTTTATTTTTTATTTTCCGGAACTTTGTGAAACCAGACAAATGGACGGATACCCTGCGAGAAAGTCTACTGATAAATTGAAAGATGCAACCCGAGATGCGAAAACTAAATGCGTCGAGCAACATGAAATATCAAAAAATTAGATAACAGTTAAAAATAAAAAATAAGGATAGTAAAAAATAAAAAGAGGAACACTTTACCTCGCGTTTGTGCATCGAGGCATACCGGATTGATTTTTCTAATCTGTTCGACCGTTGATTTTTACTGCAAGTCTACCCTTTCGGACCGTTGCGCACCGTCTTACTAAACGTTCCGTTTACTTTGTATATCTCACTGATGATGGCCAAAACAAGTGGGCCGAAATGTCTGTTATAATTGTTTTATTTAAATACACTTTTCTGAGCAACTAATACCTGGCTCTGGGCTGATATAGCTATTAAATTTTAATTTTATTTTTTTAATTATGCCATTGACACAATTTTTTAATTGCATGGATTATATTAGAGAGATTGTTTTTGTTACTATTATATATCCCCTAATGTCATAATATCTCAATCTAATATACACATAATGTAACATCACAGAGCAGTATAGTATGAAAGAAGAAGAAAAGTATTTGTCACTCATATGTTACGATGCCTTGCTCAAGTTATGCAATCTTAACTAAAATCATAGAATTTATCAAATAACATAACATAGTCTATGATTGGCTGCCTGATTAAATACTCCAGAAATAGAAATGCAAATGCATTATTCAGCAAGAAAAATACCTGACAAACTCAGAGTCTGATGTTGCACAATGAATAGTAGAATAAGTAATAGTAGAATAAAGCATGCTTTGAGCAAATTTTCATCTTGTCATTTAAATTTTATATTATAATTTGTCACTTTTACTTATTAAAACATATTAGGTCAGATATATATTTAAATGTTACAAAAAAAATGTTTTATATATATATATATATATATACACATATATAATGAACAATAGTTGTGAACTATGGTTAATATAACATTGTTCCATTGATGTCTATAGAAACTTTTGTGAAAAATGGAAGAAAAAGCATGGACTAGAGAAGCAAAAATAACAACTCGGATGAAAGCTACAGTACTTGGTGCTTTTCTAAACGTTGTTTTAGACACTGACACATTGCTAAGAGGGAAAGCTGATACTTGGATCGTCAGAGAAGCATAAAGTGCGCTCGCTCGACATTATTGTGGGTGAAGGGTTATAAAACAATCGATTCGCACAACGCGGGAGGATGCGATCGAAGCGGCATGCAAGAAAGCCACAGGCACATTTGTTTATTTACCTTTTCAGCACAAGCGAGAGGAGGTTACGAGCGCGCACACACGAGCACGATTCCCGGCAGATAGAACAGAGGTTACATTCCGTGCCACTTACCTCCTCATTTTCGCTTGGGCGCCATGAGCAACCGCGTACCCGCGTGCATCCTCCGTGCGATCGATCATCCGGAGCGGCTGCCGTGAGTCCCCGGCGGATCGTTCACCGTACGCGAATCCTTCCGCGTCCTCCGTACGCCTATTCTCCCTAATCCATTCAAAAAACACCTGTTCACTTCCAAATTTTCCGAACAGTCCTGCCAACTGCGACGAACGAAACGCGGCAAACAGTGACAGTGAAATGAGCGAGTGCGCGCGTAAATTCAAACTTCGTTCTAAATTACTCGAGTACAGATGTGTGCTCGAACGTACAGGAATCTTTTCTTAAATTTCTGTCTTTATCGTGAGAACGCACATTTTCACACTGTTTTATTAATATACAATATATTAACTTGATGTAAGTTAACTAATCGCTGAATCGAATGTTCAGCAACAAAACATGAATACGCAATGCACGGTATGCCAATTTGACTCTGAGATGCACGACAATCTTCTCTAACACACGGCTGATGAGTAACTAAGTTGGGAGCAGTCCGGAGAGAGCTGCCCAGTATAAACGTAGCAAACAAGGGAGAGGGAAGCTCTATACGAGCTCATAGGTTCGCGCTTTCTGTGAATATTCAAGCGAATATCGTGACAGCAGTGGCGAGACCACGTTTTCGCGCGATATACGTCGACATTGACGTCAATGTGAAAATTGCGCGCGAATGCTAGTAGCATTTGAAACACTTAATTGTGAAATACAGAGTCCAATACATGGACGGCTTTTTCGTAGATGACATATATTTCGCACCGGTCAATTTAAATTGACTTTGTCATCTCACACATTCAAATTATACTCTCTTGGAAATTATATCTACGATTCAAACAGCATTAGATATACGCGTGCAAATATAATCAAAATTTGTAATTTATGTAATACCTGTAACATCGATTAATCTTGAATGAACGATTCTGAGTATTGTTTTCTAGCGATATCACACTCTGTGGTATAGATACAAGAATAACTCGATCAATCACCATTGAGACGGTACATTTTCGAATACATTTTCGAGACTGCATTCGAGAAGTAGCCCGAGCACTCTTTCTCTCTCTTGCTCGCTCTCTTTAAACGCGATGACACTCTCGTCTTTTAATCGCCCGCGATACTTTACGCGACAACACGGCGCCCGCGCGCGGATACGTCGCCGGCGCAGTGAATTCTATTGTTTTACTGTTGTACAATGGCCCGGTCGACCCGAGCGCCTGCACTTCCCTGCCTCCCCCACCTGACGCACGCCGCTCGCGCCTTCGTCCTCTCCCCTACCGTTCTGACGTGTCCCCCTTATCCCCGCAGCACCAACATCGGCCGTGGAATTGCTGCCGCAAAAGGATGTTGGGGTTACTCGGGGGGCGTGGGAAAAACCTGCTGTGGGAAAGAGTGGGTGGCCTCTACCTCACTCCACTTCTGCGATGATGACGATACGATATATATATATATATATATATATATATATATATGTCGCGGCTATGAATGTATGTGCATGTGTATATATAGAGTGTGATACACATATTTTATATATATACTATATATATGTATATATATCTTCCTCGTGTGATCCGCGTGTCGAGGCGTGCAGCCAGAGTCGATGCTGCGTAATAATGCCGGAAACATGCGTGTGCATGTGAGGACGTCGCGAGAGAGAAATAGAGAAAAAATAGGGAGATCAGCGTGTGAGCCGAAACATTTTACTCGAGCATTTCGAAAATGATTACTTTTTTTAGACATTGCAAAACTTTTGCTCGATGATTGAACACAAACTGCATACCGGAGTCTGCTTTGATTGCAATTTTATACATACACTTTTTCCAATGTTTTAACAGCGCCTTTTCAACCGTAAAGATATTATTAATTTTTTAGCGTTCAACTATATACATGGGTTAGACAATATAATTAAATAAAACCTTCGATTACATGACTTTATGATCGACTTTTTTTATATTTTAATATGTGGCGCAATTTCTTTACTTGTGACCTTAGCCGCGTAAATGTTTTGAGCACAATTTCTTATTACGCGACCGCCTTCTCTCGCCTCGACTCTTGGTTAACTTTGCGACACGACTTCGACAGTATGATACGTGATATCTTTGAATTCGATTTACCACTTGTGTAGCTTGAAAATTCTAGAACACGCATAAACATTCTAAATTTCATTCCTTTTCTCGAAAAGGATCGAAAACATAATTGCCGACGTATCTTTTAGCGAGTCATACGAACGCATCGGCTGCGAACCAAGTTTTTACGCAGCCTGGATCGCGCGGATTCCCACGCTCCTTCTCTCCTATAGAGACGCGAAGATACCGACACGGAATTGTTCCGCGAGCGTGATCTCGATACGATCTGCTATTATAATCGTTGCGCGATCTTAATTATTATCATCGCTCCCTAAGAATAAATAAGACGCGGAACGATGACACGATGACGACGGCTTAGCTGCAGTTAAAACGCACCGCGCCGCGCAATGTCATGCATAATTGGCGCATTTTCACGATATTTCAGAAGATTTTTTGTTGGCCATTTAAATTGATTGTCTTTGGCGACGCATATTTGCATTCGCCTAAAATGTGAAATGACGATCTATATTCAGATATCGCAGATGCGAATGCTGCGTGAACGAGGGAACAGCTGATCGCGTGCATCGAGTGTGCGCGCGCGTGTATAACGTTGCGCGTCGTTCATCGGCTGACCGAGAAGCCGATGTCGGAGTGATGTTGAAACGCTTGTAGCAAATGTGATATTCAATCGCTCTCGCGATTTAACGAGCACTTGGATGAAACTCTACTGCTTGTTGTATTTGTGATATTAATTACGTACCGCGATATACGCGAGTTTGATTTATTACGCGCACATTTTTAGGTTACGTGCTAACAAAAATCAAAGAACTGTATATATTGTATAATAGATTAACTATTGCACATAAAATCGTTTCCAAATGAATTTATTTGAAAAGTTGTTGTGTTATGTGTATTTTCTTTGAATCAACTTCTTTTAAATCATGGGGGTGTATGGTTTATGGAAATTGCTCGAAGCGTCCGGGAAACCGGTGCCCTTAGAGACCCTCGAAGGCAAGGTTCTGGCAATTGGCAAGTATCAACGTTTGTAAATTCTATAGAAATATAACCTTTAACATAAACGGACTAAAAGGATTTCGGTAATTTAAGTTTGTGTGTGACTGGATGAGACAAGAGAGGTTGCTGCTTGAATTTTAAATAAATATTATCAGCAAAATATTTGGGCTTATTGCGAAAGGAGTCATATAATATACGTTTTCCAGATATATCAATATGGATATATCAAGTATTGCAAGGATATCAGGATCGTCACGGCACTCCCAGACCTAATGCCCATTTGCTCGGATTGTTTGTCAGAATATGCAAACTTCTGTATTACAAGATCAAGCCTGTTTTTGTCTTCGACGGTGGTGTACCCATGCTCAAGAAGAATACAATTGTAAGCACAATGGATTATTTTCCTTCTATAACTAGCAAATAGTTAATGATCTTTAACTTGCGCATTTAACGCAAAAGAGAGATACAGTATATTGTATGAAACTTTAAATACACTCTATGCATTTATGCACAAGCGAAACTGTTTCTCTCCATCTTGATTATAATATTGTTCGTACGTAATTAGCTCGGCGTGGGAACCAGGTAGTGAGAAAAGAGCCGCCTCATTCTTTTGTGTTTGCAGGCCTCACGCAGGAAGCAGAAATCTATTGCCACGAGTAAGGCGCAGAAGATGAAGGCGGATTTGATAAACAACTTGATAAAGCACAGCGTCGTGAAGACCGTTCTTAGCAAGGATTCCAAGGTGGACGAAAATAGCGGAGCGATGCGTATAATGATAAATTTACAAACTAAACGTCCCGACGAGGATATGTTTGTTCTGCCTGATATGCCTAGTACCAGCGATGCACAAGTTCACGTTAGTGACGACGATAATGCTTCTGACACCTCCGTCGAGCTGAGTCCACGGAAGCAGTCCAAATGGATCGGAAACATACACAGCGTTGATGTAGCCAGCGGCGAATTTAAAGCATTACCCGCAGATGTCCGTTATGATATACTCACCGATCTTAAGGAAACGAGAAAGCAAAATTCCTGGGGCCGTTTGCATGAAATGCCCCAAGTATGTATAAGTATATACAGTTGCTGCGATACTACATATAATACGCATGATAAATACATTGTATCCTTGTATACATTAGAGAAATTTTGTTGTAGGAATCGCACGAGTTCTCAGGCTTTCAGCTGAAACGTTTGCTGAAACGTAGATATGTACAAGAATCCTTAGAATCCGCTGAGAAGGAAATGGGCGGAAAAACACTGACGTTGGAAGAATTGGAGAAATTATTGATCGAACAAGGCATCGATACGAAGGGCAGAGAGGCGGCTTTTCGGATAGCCGCGGATAGCACAACCAGATTGATTTACATCAGTGGTACGTGTGCGTACCATGTACTGAAATCATGATCATTCCATAATATTCATTATGTATTCCATTCAAGATTAAAATCGTGGCTCACATAACATCCTATGTAATAATTGTACATTATTTTGCAGATAAGAATGCATTGGCAAAATGTGTCGACAATAACGAATTAGAAAAGGATGAGTGTGATACATTACGAGAAGCAAATGAGGAAGAATTCGAACCTGTTGCTGGTCCAAGTAATCTCAGGCCAATTGTAGAAAACATGAATGAGTACAAGTTGAATGATGATTCCGATGATGACGTCGATGTATATATTTATAACGATTCCATCGCGGAAAACATGAATGAATATGCGTTGGACAGCGATTGGGAATCTGAATGTGATATGAACGAGTCATTGGCGCTGTTGTCTGAGAAATATTTGGGTACAAGCAAGACTAATCCGGCATTAACATATATGCTGGAATACAGCGGCTTGTCTCAGAAGCAAATCGTACATCTTCTAAAACACAATAAAGATGAAAGCCATGAAAACGCAAGCAAAAACATAAAAACGCCCGAAAAAGATGCTTCCTTCGAATTTGCGGAAGACGAGAAAACGGCGAATAGTAAACCAAAACTAGGACTTTCTGAAAATTGTGAACAAACTTCAAAATTCACACAATTGCAAATATATGCACAAGATACATGCACGACCAACGACGATACCACTGTGGAATTAATCTCATCTGAACAAAAATTGGATGTCATCGAAATTGAACCGTCGAAAGATACTGAGATATCAGAGATTACTGTAACATCGAACACCATAAATTTGGACAATAAAACAACGTTTGAGAAACATTCTTCTTCTATCGCTAAATTTAACGATGAAGCACAGATAGATAGCTCAGACTCGGATTCGGACGATTTCGTAGAGATACAAGATGTTCCAATACCTGATGTAGAGATCCCAAGAAATATCGTGAAAAAAGAAAACATTGAGATAATTTTCAAGTCCGATGAGAAACCGGAAGAAGACATGTTCGCCGATATATTCGAGGAAGCGAATAAAAATGGAGTTACACCGATGAATCGTTTAGAACAATTACTGCGTGATACAAACGGCGAACATAAAACACTTTTAATTGCCGAAGACAGTGATAACTTGAAAAATAGTTTATTAGATACCATGCCAGAGGTACCATTAACGGAAGAAGCGGAAATTAAGTCGCTAGAAAATACTTCATTAACCAAAAACGCAGTAAACGTTGAAGACAAAGCACATAATTCCCAGAGTTCCGACGAACCAATAGAATGGAATAAGACAAGTTTGCTCGCTCAAGGAAATTCTTTTAACGAATGTATGCAAGAGAAACCAGTAACATTGCCTGCAAATGAAGAAGATTTAATAGAATTGAAGGTACATTCAATATTACATCTATAAACAGTGATTGTAATGTAAATTGTGGCATTTTACACACTTATCTTTCTTCTTTATTCATTTATTCGATATGTATATTTTTTCATTACAGGAAAAGTTAGAAAATGAGCAAGAAGAACTTACAAGAGACATTGGCAAGCTCGAGCGACAAGCTACTAACATTTCCGACCAAATAAAAATCGAGGCGCAGGTATATATGGAATAAGGAATAAGAAATTCTCATTGTACGACATTGTATGTTATATACGTTTGTTTATAGGAACTGCTGCGTTTATTCGGTATACCATATTTGGTAGCTCCAATGGAAGCGGAAGCGCAATGTGCGTATTTGGAGCAGATTAAACTAACCGACGGCACAATCACGGATGACTCCGATATCTGGCTGTTTGGAGGCGAATGCGTCTACAAGAATTTTTTCAATAACAACAAGAAAGTATTACAATTTCGCGCTTGTGATATTCAACATCACTTTAGTAAGCGTCAATACATTTATTATTCGATATACGTCATTTAAAATTGTCATAAAATATCATTTTAAAATACTAATTAATTTTTCCAATTATTTTAAAGAAGAGAAATATTTATATATATACATTTTTAATGACACACAACAATTATATGTATGTTACAGAACTCAGTCGTAATCAATTGATACAGTTGGCCCTTTTGGTCGGCAGTGATTACACCGCGGGAGTAACTGGCATCGGACCAGTCACCGCACTCGAGATATTAGCCGCGTTTCCCGCCGAAGGGGATAACGTGCTACACGGATTGCACAATTTTTGCTCGTGGATAAAAAAGGGAAGAATTGCAGCTCCTGGGAAAACGGGTCTACGCAATAAGTTGCGAAACGTGAAATTGGAAAGAGGTGAGCGATAATTGCAAAGAAACGCGAAGGGACAATCGGAATAAAGGAGCAAGTAACATAATTGATTTCAGATTTCCCGAGTCAAGCGGTCGTCCAAGCGTATCTTTTTCCCACGATCGATGAGTCGAAAGAAACTTTTACTTGGGGCAAACCGAACATGGTGCTTCTTTGCGATTACACTAGGCAGAAATTTGGGTGGACAAAAGGCAAATTTGACGACACAATGATACCGATATTGAGACGAATAGAGGAAAACAAGAACCAAAAATTGTTGGATATATATTTTAAAGCGAAAGCATCTACGCGATCTATCGAGCCGAGCTTGAGTAAGAGAGTTCAAAAAGCAGTACGCAAGTTAAATAATGATGATATCGAGGAAGCAAATGTGGACGGAAAACCCCAAGCTAAGAGAAGTAAGAAGAGCGATGCCAATCAAAAGTCGAGCAAAGAAGAGAATGCAGTTGCAGAACCTAAAGTATCGACCTTTAAACCGCCGAGCAAAATAAGCACTACTCCCGATAAGCCTGTTAAACCCATTATTAAAAAATATATACCAAAGAATATATTCCGCAACGAGAAAAGGACAAAGCATGCGCGTTGGAAAGAAAACTGCACGCAATAGAAGTATTTCGAAAATCGAAACAAGGCTTAGTTAAGACAAAGAAGGTGAAGTGCACAACGCGAAAAGTCAAGAAAGAGGCAGAGTTATCGGAAAGTGATAGCGATTAGATTTATTATTCGATTAAAAAGATAGAGATATACATTTTTATATATTGTAAATAATTGTCCTTATAAGATTAAGAATGTTTATAATATTGAACAAGCTCAACCTGACTTTTGCAGTTTTGCACTTTCCTTGTATCTTACGCACCTGTTAATTGCCCTTATTACAACTCTAAAGGTTTACATACAATAATTTATAAAATTTTGCGTGTAAAAAATTTCTTACATATATATTTTGAATGTGTAATTTCTTTTTATATCTTATGGCTGTGTTCGGGGAGCGCGCTATCAGCGCTATCGCATTATTCTATCTTTATCGTTCATTGGACATAAAACAAGGATAGAGTGACACAATAGCGCTGATAGCGCTCTCCCCGAACGCAGTCTATGTATATAATATATATAAATGATATAAAAAATATTTTTATTATCATGTAGATAAATGTAATAGATGATTTTTTTATCAAACGTAATATCTTGTGTTAGAGTTTTATTTCTTAGCTTCACTAGCACTAAATATCATAAAAATTGGTATTTAGAAGTTAAAGAAATAAGAGAAAAACGTAACTTCCAATTTTTTTTCAACGGCCGGAGAACGCCTAATCGCGTCTTTGAGAACGCGTTTAGGCGTCTCCTGGCCGATGAAAAAACTGGATGACGCGATTAGGCGTCTTCTGGCCGTTGAAATTCGTTAAAATCAAGCAAATAGTACGATTCGACGATAAGTGGACGCGCACTTGTCACTTCTCACTTTTAGTTCGTTACTTTCGAGAGTGTACGATATGGTGGCGCTTTAGCTGTCCTCCACTTTTTTTTCAAGAGGGAGTTACAACCCCCTGGTTTGAGGTAGCAGATGAAAACAAGCGATGCTCAAGTTGAGCGAAGGTTTGTGTTGTCTCTTCGTCGTCTGCTACCGTATCGTGAGAGAGAAACCCGTGGAAGAGACGCGAAAGATCGACTCGCCGTTGCCATCCCTATCGTATCACTATATCCCAGGTGATTTTTCGTGAATACCACAACGCGATCCTCTGCGGCGTCTGCTATTCCTCCTCTTCCTCCTCCTCCTCCTTCTTCTCCTTCTCCTCCTCCTCCTCATCATCATCATCATCATCTTTATCCTTCTGCATTCACGCGGGCGTTCAAACCGCGGGAACGATGTAGACGTCCTCCACCGACAGCATCTCTGTCCTTCGATCAGCGCGTCGGGGATGCCGGCACGGCCGCTTGCGGCTGCCACCATCGTCGACGACTACGAGCGGCGCAGTACCCGCCGTACCCGTGGGAAATGTCTTACAGTGATGGCACACGCCCGACACGTAAATTTGGCCCAAAATCGCCAAAGAAACTGTGCGTGACCAAGAGCGAAAACAGCGACAAGACCACAACAACAGTCAACTGTGGCAGCCATCATCACAATCACTACCATCACAACCATCACCGCTTCCTGGACGGCACTCAACCGTCGGTGCACAAGCGCAATCTCTACCTTGTTTCATCCCCGCTGATACTACTGTTTAACGTGCTGCGCACACTGCTGTATCAGCTGTTTGTGGTATTCAGATATTTGTATACCTCTACATCTCAGCTGATCCAGCGCAGGCAGCAGTCCAAGCAGGCCTGTCACTTGGAGATAGTTGTTGGGCAGAAACCGACGGATGGCCGTTTGGTCAACGGTAGTCAGGCGGAAAGTGAGACCATCATGTCGCAAGTGCCTAGACGTCCGATCGGGCCAGGCCCTGCAGATCCGTTACTCGCTAAGCAGAAACATCATCATCGTAGAGCGTTTGAGTTTATCAGCAAAGCGCTCAAAATTGATGAGGATAATGAAGGTACGGTGTTTACTACCATGATTAAAGTTTGAAAATTAATAATACAATCAGCAGGATGCATATGCTCTCCTGCTCACTACTTTAAATATACTTTTTTTCACTTATCTTTGAGATACTCTACTAAGAGTTTGATAAGACAAATACATATTTCACATATATTGCTTCTTACAAATAAAACAAAACAAAAGAATTAAGAGAAAGGAAACAATGGAAATATTTTGTTTACATTCTTTTGTAAAATAATATCTAAAGCTCTAAAAATTGAAGAGAAACTATTTTACAAAATTTATAATTTACCTTACATAGTATATCTGCCTCATTATTATTGTTTAATCTTTAACAGGACAAAAGGAAATGGCAATCGAATTATATAAAAAGGGAATAGGAGAACTGGAGAAGGGAATAGCTGTAGAATGCACTGGTGGACACGGTGAGGTATGGGAGCACGCCCAAAGACTTCACGACAAGATGTGTACAAATCTGGTGATGGCAAAAGACAGGCTGGAATTCCTCGGTTAGTACTTTCACGCGTTACGTTCGCTCCGCACATTGACGTTTCTTAAGCTATTCCAAGCTTGTTTACCTATGGTACAAACTTTTATTATTTGCGAACACAGAGAGAACCGCTAATAATTAGCATCATAATTCTTTTCAAACCTGTAGCAGTTAGAGGATACTTGATCAAATTTTATTACAAGTTAAATATGTCTTGATATCACCCAAATTGGCAAAAGCTGAAAAATTGGCTTTCCCAAGATCTTTCTCAAGATTCATTATTTTGATGAAGAAAAGCTATGGTATAGCGACACTGGCCCAATGCGACTCTTGTTCAATCGATTTTCTTCCAACCGCTATAATTTTGCAAGTGATCAAGATGCTAATTGTTAATAATTTACTTTGCATAATAAATTAATCAGTATTAATGCAACAATTTTTGCGCTACGTACTGAGACAATTTTTAATTTTGCGACAGTGGCCAGAGGTAAATTTTTGGCAATGGCAAGAGAAAGAATATCGATGTATTTGGCATGCTCGTGTGTGCAATTTGTTCTACATTCTTCAATATATGCGCGTGCGTGCGTGCGTGCGCGCGCGTGTGTGTGTGTGTGTGTGTGTGCGTGTGTGTGTGTATGCGTGTACGCATGTCCGCGTTATACAATTTCCTATGTGGTTTACCTTGAGCACAAGTAAATTTTTGTTTTTGCATTTTTCTTTGTGGAAATCTCTCGGCTGTAACGCGCGCGGACGCGTATATACATATATATGAGATATACAAATTAACAGCCCAATCTCATACGGCAGCATTCTGATAGTAATTGAAACGCGCACTGATTTGAGCTGATAGCTACTGATTATTAAGTATGTTTAGTACATCGGTACTCGATACAATGTGGAAGATCAGCCTGATTTTCTCTTTAGCTGTTTAGCCTACTGCAGCATGGCAGAGAATGTTTTTTCCTTTTTGTAGTGAGTGTGTGTGAGCTGAGAAAGCTGGGTATCAACAATGAATACCGTACTTCTGGAAATAAAACGGACGGCGAATCGCATCCGGGAAAGCATCTGAGGGCTCGCCGCAATATACATACTTTTCAAACCACTCGTACCTCACCCAACACTAATTATAATAAGAATACGAACAGTACGCACACAACAGTTAACACCGGGCAGGCCATATGTACCCAAATTCCCAAGTTAAGGCCACGCTCACCAAAAAACTGTTGTGCTCATACTACTGAAGGTATTGTTCGTCTGAGATTCTGGGCTTAAATGTGAAAGAGTCGAATGCAAGTAAAATAATGTAATGCTCCCTAGTCATTATACCTATCTACATTTGGAAGTAATCATTTGTTTTATCTATGCACATCACACCCGTTTGACGTAAAAGATGAAGTAGATGAATGTAGACTTGTAATAATATTGATATGCATTTCTCATAGCTGCTCTTTCGTTCGCCGTAGATCTTTAGAAGCTGTTGCATTTCGATGGTAGCGTGTAATGAAATTTTCTATTATAGCGCTTTTTGCAAGTAGATTCAAAGCGATATATTATTTAACGAGTACACACACATACAAAGTAAAATTAATTGTTCCAGGGGAAACAAGAGTCTTAAACTTATAAACGTAAACATATAAACACTCTTACAATTGCATTTGAAAATGTTAGCATTTTTAGATTTCTTTTCAGTTGTATATTTTTTCCGAAACTTTTCACATTTTCTCGTTAAATTAAAAAATCTTTATGTGTTTATATTTTAATTAATTTGACACTTGGCATATATAAATATGCAACTGAATTAAAATCTATATATTCTACTTCATCCATTTTTTTTTTTTAAATTAAATTTATTAGATTACAATTTTATTTAAACTGTAACAACACAGTATGTATAATGTATTTGCAAGTTCATTACAATATAAATAGTAGCAAGTATTTCGTTTAGCAATATATATTGTTCATTACAAAAATTTCTTTTTCCTAATATTATTATGCTGTCGATAAGATGTTTGTTATTCTAAAGAATTCAATACGCTATTCAATACGCTTCATTTATTGAACATTAAATGACACAGGCGTCTGAAATTTCTCAGCTGTAAACATTTCTTGATTTCTGTCACTTTCTTTGCAATAGATCCTCTTATCCATTAGACTGATAATACAGGATTTGCATTTAATATCAACCAGTGTAGTAAGGTTTTTTATCGTTGAATTATGCATTACTGTTTCTTTGTTTTTCTAGGTTTTATTTATAAATACAGGTATTATTTCAGCATCTGGCAGAAAATTATCGGTCCCCGGAAAGCGAATGACAGGAATACCTTTGAACAAGAGTCAGACGCTGCCTCGAAGTATGGGCAGATCGACACCTGTTCAACCTTGCCACAGAACCATGCCTATCAAACCGTCCTCCACTCCACCCTCCGTGAAAAGGCAGCTGTCTGTACCTGGCAACGGCTCGCCTATAAGACGTCCGGGAACACCTACTACCTCGAACAGTAACAGAAGTACGCCAACCAGAAAAGTACCTGTGTTGAAGGGAGTGGATCCAAAACTTGCCCAAGTGATTCTCGACGAGATCTTGGAAGGAGGAACGCCGGTGCAATGGGAGGACATTGCTGGTCAAGAGGTATACACTAATCAATTGCGAACGAATTTGTGTCGTCACTAATTACATTGATGACTTGTAGACGGCGAAACAAGCTTTACAAGAGATGGTGATTCTACCGTCGCTGCGACCCGAGCTGTTTACCGGTCTGCGAACACCTGCAAGAGGACTGCTACTATTCGGACCACCGGGAAACGGGAAGACGTTGCTGGCACGTGCCGTTGCGACTCAATGCAACGCGACGTTCTTTTCGATCTCTGCCGCTAGTCTCACGTCCAAATACGTTGGAGAGGGTGAGAAATTGGTGAGGGCTCTGTTCGCGATCGCGCGGGAGTTGCAGCCGTCTGTCATCTTTATCGACGAGGTGGACTCGCTGTTGAGCGAACGAAAGGATAACGAGCACGAAGCGTCCAGGTATACATACCTTCGGATATTCTACAAGTGGAAAATCTATATGTCGAAAGAACATATGTATCGATCGATGTGTATTTCAGGAGACTAAAAACAGAATTCTTAGTTGAGTTTGACGGTTTGCCGTGCAATCCCGAAGAAAGAGTGCTCGTTATGGCCGCTACGAATAGACCACAGGAGTTGGATGAAGCTGCGCTGAGACGATTTACGAAACGCGTGTACGTCATGTTGCCGGACTTGCAAACGAGAATCTTGTTACTTCGGAGGCTTCTAGCCAAACACAATGATCCACTGACACCCGAAGAATTGAACGAGATGGCAATTCTGACGGACGGATATTCGGGAAGCGATTTGACTGCGCTAGCTAAAGATGCCGCACTTGGGTCCATCAGAGGTAACGTATAATTATGTTTTATTCACTTTTATTCGATTCCCATTGTGAGTGAAAACATTGATATTGGTCATTCATTTTGTCACATTTTACATGATTGATATTAGAAATGTTTCAGCGAAAAAATGTCAGCAATATCAAATTTAGATTCTCCACATAAATGGCAATCATCAATTGGAAATCTTACTTTATTGTATTATTTATATCTAATCAGTTTTTTTTTGTTTTGTTTTTGTTTGATAAAAATATAAAAAAGGTTTTCTCTACATTATGCCTTTAAGATTAGAAAGCATCTGTTTGATCATGTTTGCATAGTAAAACTACAAAATGTATTATCGTATTGTTCTTAGAACTGAATCCAGATCAGGTGAAAGAATTGGACCTCAATTCCGTTCGTAATATTACAATGCAAGATTTCCGCGATTCCCTAAAGAGAATTCGCAGATCCGTTTCACCGGCAAGTTTAGCCGCCTATGAAAAATGGAGCTTCGAATACGGAGACGTGAGTCTTTGATTTATGATGAACTGCCCAGAGCTCCAGAACAATCGCATTCGAATGAAATGTAATTGACGATACGGAATTACAAATGTTCCCGAGTATCGAAAAACAACTGTAATGTCGACACAAACAGCAACTTTGTTTTTATTCCACGCTATGAACAATATTAATCTTTATAAAAAAGAAAAGAGAAAATAGCAGTGAGAAGAGCAGTGAAAGAGTGAGGAAAAGAAAGTACTTTTATTTTGACTTGTGAGAATATCGAATATCGATTCGTATTGCGATCGCGCTTAACACGAAACGTAGCTGTTTGAGTCTCATCTTATTTTTACACATTATGAGTAACTTTTATGTCAAACGTATCATTAAAAATACGTTTCTCATTGATTTTAATAAACTCTAGTACTTTACACTCTACTCAGCGATCAGATATTATAGCATTTGCAGTTTGAATGTTGTTACCATTTTGATATTAAAAGCATGATTATTATTATTTCATTGCGAAAACATTCAGTTCTTTTTATTAGCTATACTACTATTTGTATACAAATATACAAATGGCTATACTGAAGTTTATAATAAGTAAAAGTTTACATTATGATAAGTTGCACTTAATGTCAGGGTTATTAGTTATATATGTATTATCGCAGGTTCATTACGTTGGGATTGACTTGAGATCAAGTACACAAAGTCTGCAGCCATAAAACGCGTCTTCGTACAAAGTTGTAAACATTCAACTATTACCGTTTATAAAGTTGACACGTTAACATCATGATATGACACAACCCCTGTCTTGAGACAGTAGAAAGATTGCATTTTCGAATGAAACATTGCGCACGTCCAATCAGATAATAAAAGATCTGTCGCGCGGTGGCACATGTAACAAGAAGAGACATAATTATTATATTCATGACACGCGCGACAGTGATGCGTGATAGGACATACCGAGTAAAAGCACGCGTCCATTTTGCACTAATCGCACCGATAAATGTATTCCCAAAATGTTGCGAATGTTAATCTTGTTACGTTTGATTCCAATTCGAAGATTCGTTTGATATTTGTTAAAACTACCAAAGTGTTGAGGATCACGTGGCAATGATGCACGCTTATGCGAGAAAAAGACAAATTGAAGAGAAATCTAAGATCCTGTTTTCATACAAGATTTTACGAGACAACGAACTGAGACTCTAATCTGTGCTATGTGAAATCCTAAGTATTTATTTGTAAGAATTATGTATAAGCTTGACGCGTGCGCGGATATTGTTATCATATACACGAAAGATGAAAAAGATCTGCGTATGATATATATATATGAATACGTTTTTATGACGTTTGTCTATTGCTTCCGATGCTCAAAGATGTAGGATAATTACGCTTGTACTTCTTAAATTGATATATTTAACGCAGGACTATATGTATCTCTGCAATTACAACACGATACAAATTTATTCGAGATTCGATTGTTGGAAATATTAGGCAGATAAGATAATCGTCGCTATAGTTTTGAATGAAATCTCTCACCTCAAGAGAGAGATAGTAAAAGTAATAATTTACTTACAATGAATTTTGTGCATACGGTACTTCCTGGACGCGAGTGAAACGGCAGGAAGTATTATTTACAGATGAAACCAATAGTTATTAAATGATAGATCGCTTGGTGTATAAGTAGAATACGATCGCATTCATCAAGTATAGCATGAATATTCCATGTTAGATAGAGACGCAAAAGATATACGATGCTTGGTTCACGATATCTCACTGCAGAGATTCGACATTTCGAAAATAATACCGTTGTAATTACAGATGAAAATCGTGTGATATTAAACAGCATTCGCGAGCTGTGTGATGTTATTGCGACGACGAACATTACTTGATTATTCTATTCGCGGCACTTAAAAATGTATGTCAGTGTGCACAAGGATACGCGATATATGAATATTCTCGTGAATTATAATTCTGGGTCTTTCTAGAAATTATGGCTTTGTTAGTTATGACTTTGTTGATTTTTCAACACGGAGAGCACGTGTACCGTGACTGAAGAGTTCGATTTGATCATCGTTTTATTTCCATATTGCTTTGTGATATTAGTTTCTTAAAGATTAACAACCTTTGCACTGCCTATAAGTCTCAAGTATTATATATACTATATTATATAATTATTGTAAAGTGTGAGTTGTGTGTACTGGTTATGTTAGAGCTTGAAATTTATGATAATTTCGCGCAGCACATTGTTTTACATACGAAGATAGATCATTTAAAGACCCTGGCCTTCCAATGTGAAACATGCTGAGCCTTGATTAAGTTATTTTGCTACTTTTATAACATGTAATATGATAAAAATTGAGTAGGAATAATAATGAGGTATAATATTTACTCTAATGATATTCAATACTATTTAATCTAATGGCAAATGTGGCGAGTTACAAGTTGGAACAATTGTTTGTACAGGTTTGCATAGAGGTTTCTCCTTTTAAATATTACTTAGACTATTGGTGTGTCATTCATATTCAATTGTTTTATCAACAATTGTATTGACGATTGTATGGACTTTTGAGACCCATGATGTTAATTAATATCGTTGTACTTTCTTGTGAAAAGTTATTATCAAATTATTCACTAGATTTGCAGTTTGCGACAAAAATAATCAATCTTCGTTAATTGGCGTATATTTATCGACGGATTCTTATTAACTTGTAACACGATCAAAGAGAAAAGTGTGACCCGTCTGTATCCAGCAGTATTGTAGAGTATGTTCAATGAGCTGTGTTGTAACTTACACGTTAGATCGGCAGTAGAAATTTTTACCAAATATTTCTTGGTAATATACAGTACCGTCCGTGAGTTCGTGAACGTTGATGGCAGAGAGACGGTTTTTGTATCGAAGCATTTCCTTTTTTTTTTTTTTGGTCAGCAATTTTTACTCTGTACATATTTACCTTTAAGCTTATCAATTGTTGACGAACTCGGGAACGGTAGGGTATCCACACAGTAGTTTACGTCCAACCGAATAGTTGCGATATAACTATTTGATAGATCTCTTCACCGAAATAACTCCATTAAAGCTCTAATGCAACGTCAAACAATATAACAGACGTACAGAATTGTAACGCACTCTGTCAATATTTTGTCAGTGCGTGTGTATGTATGTTTTGTCGAAAACAGAATACGCGTTTACAAAATGTAAGAAAGAAAAATGTATATATAGTACAAATTAGTTCTCCCTCTCCCTCTCTCTCTCTCTCTCTCTCTCTCTCTTTCTCTCACGCTTTGCTCTCGTGAGCGAAGCCGAAAAAACACAAGTTGATCCGCAATTTTTTATTTCGTTAGTTGCATCATTGAGAGGCATATTTCTGGTACGACATATCTAATTCTATTGTAAAAGTAGTTGTTATTCAATACACGTTCTCGAAAACTTTCTTCGATGTAGATGTTATCATTACGCGAATACCAATAACGGTCGTAAACTTTTAGTAATTAGACGATATGAATGTTATCTTTCGCATGGATCTTCGCATAAATGTTAAAACGTTCACAAGTGACTTTTCAAGAATGTTTTCAATGTGAATGATCACTGCAAGTGTATAATTCGGGTGCAAAATAAAACCATATTATATGTATCTAAATACTGTGTCGATTTTATGTTGGGGTGAACAGTCGTACCGATTGCAAGTTGATGTAAAACTACTCGCGATGTAACGATGAAAAATAAATCAACTATTTGGCTAGCTAGGAGCGATCGCTCTCCTCCGTTTTTCACCCGAAAATTATTGTTGAAACGGAGAATCGCGAAATAATACAAGATAGTGTATTTTAAATATTTATTCCTTTTTTCATTCTCAAAGGACAATTTGTTTTTATTATAAGATAACATTATCCTAATCTTCGAGGGCTCGACACCCCCGCCGTACCTAAATTACTCTTTATATAACATCTTTTGTCTTTCCTCGGTACAACGTAGACAAGTCCGTTTGTCTTCGTATTGGCTTTCCACTCGATATCACTGTCACTCATCGCAGCCAATCGAATCGTTACCACGTCCGGTTTTTGCTTTCGCTCCCCCTGTGTATCTCTCATCTCGTTTATATACTGTACTTTATACAAATTGATTTTGAAAGTTTTATGGCATTTTACCGTCGGTGGTAAACTGAGATGACAAGCATCCTTTAGATGTGCAACGTAAGATAATCACGAAAGCAAATCGAGATTTGGTAAAATAAAAGTTATGTTTTATGAAAAACAATTATATGATTAGTGTAGTGCTCGAGTGTCTAGGTACTAGACCGCACACAGCTAATTTGTCCCCTAATTAATTTTGACTATTCAAGCGATTAGGTAGTCGGTCCAGTTCGATCTCGCAGATGCTTCACAATTGTCACATTTATTTTTACCTTTATTTTTAGAGTTGTCGCGACTGGAATCGTGTTCTAAGAATGTTGAAACTTTCAAAGTGTACGACATAAAATTTTTAGATAAATCTATTGCCAATCAATCTAAATTTATACTTAACTACATAATTAGCTCCAATGTAGATTGATTGTTAATAAATTGTAAACTTAAAATAACGTACGTAAACACTATAAATATTAAATATTGGAATATTGAATGATATCTGAAAGTTTTAAACTATTCTTGAACAATCTCGGACAATAAATTTCCAACAGAGTGCAAAAAATGTAGTATACATCTTCGAGATATAACGACTAACGACAAATTGATATTCACACACACACGCACGAGCGCGCGCGCGCGCGCACACACACTCACATACACGCACAAAATAGTAAAACACCAGTCAAATTATTAACAGTACATTTGTTTCAGTACTGCTACAGTACTTAACACATGAACCCTATCAATTATGTGGTGTACCACAGTTTTTCATAAAACCACTTTTATTTCATCCAAACCTCGCTTTGTACACGCGATCGGCATTGTATTGGTTGCATCCAAATATTTAGCTCAAGATATACCGAACAAAACGAAAAAATCTACTATCGTTAATTGTGCTGCGAACTTTCCTTACATGTTAACGTGGAAGACACGAAGGAATCGAATCGTGCCAAGATGTACGGACGATAATTCTGAAATGTGTATATACCATCGACTGATTGCCAGTCAAAATTGTTCCGCTGCATTGCAACATCAAGATACCAATTATCGGATGTTGGCGCATTTAAATATAAAAAATAATAATAAACGCACGCGTATTTTCATGAGGTGCAGGGAACGAGTCATTCTTTATTTTGGAGTTAAGATACATGACCATCAAAAATTGAAAAAACTAAATATGTGTTTGTATAATCGATAAAATTTAAATTTACACAATTGTTCGAGTATTAATAATCGTAGAAATAATTAATTAATTTATTGACAACTAAAAAATTACTTGCCTGATTTGTTCAAACAACAATTACAATTACATTTATATGTACAAAGAGTCTCGTTCCTCTTCCTCCCTCGTGTGTTTATTATTATCGTTTAGATTAACGCTTAATTATTATTCTTCGGTCGTCTACAAACGAGGAATCAAAATCTAGATCGCTAACTAGACCTACATACGATTTACATGTTTTATCACACATATATATTACGGAACTGTAAATAATTATCAAAACTTTATTAGGTGACTACGGGAGCAG